CTTGCTATCCGAGCTTGCCATCGCGCTCCTGACACTGCTCATGTCGAATGCCGCCGTGGAGAGAGATTAGGAACAATGAATATTCCGAACAATGCCAAGTTCGAAGAGCAGTGGCAGCCATGTTTCCGTTGCTATCCGAGCTTGCCATCGCCCCCCTGACACTGCTCATGTTGAATGCCACCGTGGAGAGATTCGGAACAATGAATATTCCGAACAATGCCAAGTTCGAAGAGCAGTGGCAGCCATCTTTCCGTTGCTCTCCGAGCTTGCCATCGGGCTCCTGACACTGCTCATGTCGAATGCCGCCGTGGAGAGATTGGGAACAATGAATATTCCGAACAATGCCAAGTTCGAAGAGCAGTGGCAGCCATGTTTCCGTTGATATCCGAGCTTGCCATCGCGCTCCTGACACTGCTCATATCGAATGCCGCCGTGGAGAGATTGGGAACAATGAATATTCCGAACAATGTCAAGCTCGAAGCGCAGTGGCAGCCATGTTTCCGTTGCATTCCGAGCATGCCATCGCACTCCTGACACTGCTCATGTCGAATGCCGCCGTGGAGAGAGATTTGGAACAATGAATATTCCGAACAATGCCAAGTTCGAAGAGCAGTGGCAGCCATGTTTCCGTTGCTATCCGAGCTTGCCATCGCGCTCCTGACACTGCTCATGTCGAATGCCGCCGTGGAGAGAGATTAGGAACAATGAATATTCCGAGCAATGCCAAGTTCGAAGAGCAGTGGCAGCCATGTTTCCCTTGCTATCCGAGCTTGCCATCGCGCTCCTGACACTGCTCATGTCGAATGCCGCCGTGGAGGGATATTAGGAACAATGAATATTCCGAACAATGCCAAGTTCGAAGAGCAGTGGCAGCCATGTTTCCGTTGCTCTCCGAGCTTGCCATCGCGCTCCTGACACTGCTCATGTCGAATGCCGCCGTGGAGAGAGATTAGGAACAATGAATATTCCGAACAATGCCAAGTTCGAAGAGCAGTGGCAGCCATGTTTCCGTTGCTCTCCGAGCTTGCCATCGCGCTCCTGACACTGCTCATGTCGAATGCCGCCGTGGAGAGAGATTAGGAACAATGAATATTCCGAGCAATGCCAAGTTCGAAGAGCAGTGGCAGCCATGTTTCCCTTGCTATCCGAGCTTGCCATCGCGCTCCTGACACTGCTCATGTCGAATGCCGCCGTGGAGGGATATTAGGAACAATGAATATTCCGAACAATGCCAAGTTCGAAGAGCAGTGGCAGCCATGTTTCCGTTGCTCTCCGAGCTTGCCATCGCGCTCCTGACACTGCTCATGTCGAATGCCGCCGTGGAGAGAGATTAGGAACAATGAATATTCCGAACAATGCCAAGTTCGAAGAGCAGTGGCAGCCATGTTTCCGTTGCTCTCCGAGCTTGCCATCGCGCTCCTGACACTGCTCATGTCGAATGCCGCCGTGGAGAGAGATTAGGAACAATGAATATTCCGAGCAATGCCAAGTTCGAAGAGCAGTGGCAGCCATGTTTCCCTTGCTATCCGAGCTTGCCATCGCGCTCCTGACACTGCTCATGTCGAATGCCGCCGTGGAGGGATATTAGGAACAATGAATATTCCGAACAATGCCAAGTTCGAAGAGCAGTGGCAGCCATGTTTCCGTTGCTCTCCGAGCTTGCCATCGCGCTCCTGACACTGCTCATGTCGAATGCCGCCGTGGAGAGAGATTAGGAACAATGAATATTCCGAACAATGCCAAGTTCGAAGAGCAGTGGCAGCCATGTTTCCGTTGCTCTCCGAGCTTGCCATCGCGCTCCTGACACTGCTCATGTCGAATGCCGCCGTGGAGAGAGATTAGGAACAATGAATATTCCGAACAATGCCAAGTTCGAAGAGCAGTGGCAGCCATGTTTCCCTTGCTATCCGAGCTTGCCATCGCGCTCCTGACACTGCTCATGTCGACTGCCGCCGTGGAGAGAGATAAGGAACAATGAATATTCCGAACAATGCCAAGTTCGAAGAGCAGTGGCAGCCATGTTTCCGTTGCTCTCCGAGCTTGCCATCGCGCTCCTGACACTGCTCATGTCGAATGCCGCCGTGGAGAGAGATTAGGAACAATGAATATTCCGAACAATGCCAAGTTCGAAGAGCAGTGGCAGCCATGTTTCCCTTGCTATCCGAGCTTGCCATCGCGCTCCTGACACTGTTCATATCGAATGCCGCCGTGGAGAGATTGGGAACAATGAATATTCCGAACAATGTCAAGCTCGAAGCGCAGTGGCAGCCATGTTTCCGTTGCTATCCGAGCTTGCCATCGCACTCCTGACACTGCTCATGTCGAATGCCGCCGTGGAGAGATTTGGAACAATGAATATTCCGAACAATGCCAAGTTCGAAGAGCAGTGGCAGCCGTGTTTCCGTTGCTATCCGAGCTTGTCATCGCACTCCTGACACTGCTCATGTCGAATGCCGCCGTGGAGAGAGATTAGGAACAATGAATATTCCGAACAATGCCAAGTTCGAAGAGCAGTGGCAGCCATGTTTCCGTTGCTACCCGAGCTTGCCATCGTGCTCCTGACACTGCTCATATCGAATGCCGCCGTGGAGAGAGATTATGAACAATGAATATTCCGAACAATGTCAAACTCGAAGCGCAGTGGCAGCCATGTTTCCGTTGCTATCCGAGCTTGCCATCGGGCTCCTGACACTGCTCATGACGAATGCCGCCATGGAGAGAAATTAGGAACAATTATTTCGAACAATGCCAAGTTCGAAGAGCAGTGGCAGCCATGTTTCCGTTGCTATCCGAGCTTGCCATCGCCCCCCTGACACTGCTCATGTTGAATGCCACCGTGGAGAGATTCGGAACAATGAATATTCCGAACAATGCCAAGTTCGAAGAGCAGTGGCAGCCATCTTTCCGTTGTTCTCCGAGCTTGCCATCGGGCTCCTGACACTGCTCATGTCGAATGCCGCCGTGGAGAGATTGGGAACAATGAATATTCCGAACAATGCCAAGTTCGAAGAGCAGTGGCAGCCATGTTTCCGTTGATATCCGAGCTTGCCATCGCGCTCCTGACACTGCTCATATCGAATGCCGCCGTGGAGAGATTGGGAACAATGAATATTCCGAACAATGTCAAGCTCGAAGCGCAGTGGCAGCCATGTTTCCGTTGCATTCCGAGCTTGCCATCGCACTCCTGACACTGCTCATGTCGAATGCCGCCGTGGAGAGAGATTTGGAACAATGAATATTCCGAACAATGCCAAGTTCGAAGAGCAGTGGCAGCCATGTTTCCGTTGCTATCCGAGCTTGCCATCGCACTCCTGACACTGCTCATGTCGAATGCCGCCGTGGAGAGAGATTTGGAACAATGAATATTCCGAACAATGCCAAGTTCGAAGAGCAGTGGCAGCCATGTTTCCGTTGCTACCCGAGCTTGCCATCGTGCTCCTGACACTGCTCATATCGAATGCCGCCGTGGAGAGAGATTATGAACAATGAATATTCCGAACAATGTCAAACTCGAAGCGCAGTGGCAGCCATGTTTCCGTTGCTATCCGAGCTTTCCATCGCACTCCTGACACTGCTCATGTCGAATGCCGCCGTGGAGAGAGTATTTAGTCACGTGTCACTCACAAATTCAGACCTAGGGAACAGGATGTTCCTTCGAACTTTTCACAACAACCTCTATGTAAAGTTTGCTTTCCTTGGGAAGAACCAGTGCTGTAAGGACATCAACCCTACTGAAGAATCTTTTGCCCGTTTTAACACGACAATTATGTATGAGGCGAGTCAGCCGAGCACGAGAAAATGTTTCATAACTATGCGAGTGTAAAAACGAGTGTGAAAAAGTATAGTACTTTTTTGTTTGAAATAAAACGTTTTTAATACATTTCAAGATGTCGCATATTTTGCAAGCTGGTCCTACATTCGAGCGCAGGAGCTTTTGGGCTCTCGAGAATAGGGCTACTTTTTTGGCTACGTTTGGGCTACACCGTCCGGCGTTTGAGCTAGAACCTACCTGCAACCCGGCACACCTTTAGTCAGTGAGAACCGTGAAGCCGCCATGGCGTCTGGGAAGCGTGCTCGTCTCGCGCCCCGGAGGCCTGGGTTTCATACCCACAAAAACAGAAATGTACAATCAGAGCATTTTTGGCGTGCTTTTACTCGTTGTGCCGTCGGCCATTTTTGGTGCCATCGCTCCGTCACGCCGCCGCCGCCGCCAAACTTTCGCGTAATAAGGCATATGAAAATGAAGCGGAGGTGCCCTTTAAGCTTGTGCATCAAGGACCCCAGCATAGGAGGCTATGACACCAGGCAGCGTTGACTCTAGTTTAGAGCTGTAAATAGCAGGCAAACGCAATAATGGCGCTGTGCGTACTGATGTGGCCACTCCATACCTTTAGTTTTAAACACGACTTAGTAGTTCACTTTAGCGCTCCCGTGCGCAAACAAAAAGCAATGCGGTGAGTATGATTTTCCCAAAGGTAATCTTTTTTGCAAAGGCAAATTTTTAACCTAAATTTGTACCGCTAACATCCAAAACCAAATCAACCATTATAGTATAAATATCGGCGAAGTGAGGACTCCATTAGTGTTTTTTTTTAAATAAATATGGACATTACATCACCTAAGCACCCGACACATTTACAATGCAGGGCAACATATCTATAAGTGTCACAACTCGATGCTCATATTCGGGGTCCTCGGCCCCCGGGCCCCAGCCGCACTCAGGGGCGGATCCAAGGGGGGGGGGGGGGGGGGGGGGGGGCAGGCGCAACCCCCCCAAACAAAGTCGACCCCCCCCCCCCCCCTTTTCGGAGGGCAATTTGGCATGAGTGGACCCCCCGGTGACATGAAAGAATGGGAGAATAGTATCCTTACAAATTATCCCCCCCCCCCGAAAAAAAAAAGCACTTCTGGATCTGTCCCTGGCCGCACTGAACCATGCACGAAGAAAAGTGCTCGGTCTACACAGGAGTCAGCCACGAAATGCAGGTGCAAGAATACAATGTTGTTGTGACTAAAGTTTATTCCTGAAGTATGGCCTTTCGTTTGTAGATCATGACTGTAAACATAACTCATATGTATACGAACAGTAAGTAAACAGACATAGCATGTCTGTAACTAAAAGTACACAGATCACACGTTTGATGCACTCCATAAAATTTTAGAAGCTGCACAGAGAGGAAGTAAATTTCAAGGTATGGCGAAAAAACAAAAAAATACTCCTTTTCACATAAAATTGCTGACCAAGCAACCAGCAATAACTTGCTTAATTATGTACACACAGACGCATAGCCTCAACTGATATGAACAATGCAAGCTAAAATATCCACAGTGGCATAGCATATTACATACATAAAGACTGCATCAATGCCATGGCATAATGCTAAATGTAATTTAGATGTTCCCATGCTGTTGCTGGTAGAATTCGACGAGAAGATGGATAAAAGTCACAATATGACGGGAAATGCAAGGAAAACAGACAATATATCAGTATACATGCCAAAACCTATAACACTACCTAAGTCATAGATTCTGGCAGCAAAGAGAATACTTCCAACCTCCGCAGCCCTTCGAAACATATCCTTCTTTCCGTTCTCCAACAAAGGTAGCCAAATGCCTGGGGTCCTTCTGCTGTTGATCTGAATCTTTCAAACAAGCATTGAAAAATTAATGCAACATATTAAATTACAAACTTTAGGTATTTAAACACAGCCTTTAACAAAGTAAAATGCCAAGTGGCATGTACACTAAAATCAACACATCAACCAAGGCACTTTCTGAATAATAAAAGGCAAGAAAATTCCATCACAAAGCCATTCAAAGACTGACTAGATTGGAGTCTTAATTCCAAGTTCATTTTCAAGTTCATAAATTGAGGCACTAAACTAGAACACACATTAAACTCTCACAATCAAAAATAAAAAAAAAGATCGATAACATTTTTTTTTCTGCTGATTTGTTAAAATAATTTCAGTCTTCCTCAGATTAAACCCAAAAGAAACTAATTATAAATATTTATAACAAAAGAAAAGAACAATGTTATTATTATTTCATCTCAGAAACTGCGTAGCAATGAAGGTGTCAAATGATTACTTACTTCAAGACCTAGAGAAAAAAAAAGCTTAGAATTTACAATACACTTTAAAAACAATTATTACAATGAACTGTCGAACTTGAATAATAAATATTGTGACAAAAGAATGGTTACAGTGTTTTGGCTGTTTTTTTTTATATTCACGACAAAAGGAACTTTATTCAGCTATTCTAGCTATTTTAATTAGGTTTTTACCATAAAATTATAATTGCTGATCTTTATTCATTTTTAAGCTATTATCAGGTAACGCACTAAAACCACACAAAAAAAAGGCTAGCAATTTGTAGAAGTATTTCCTTTGCTTCAAATGCCACCAATTTATTATCACAAGGCCAACAATCATACCCACTTTTATTTGCTTAATATTAAATCAAGTTCTTGAAAATCAATGTTATAAACAAGACAGGAGCATAAAATACTTAATCAAATTAATCAATTAAAAAGGCACTGTAGCTTCTGTAAAAAAAAAAAAGAACATCTGTATCACGGGTCAAAATAATAATAAAAAAGGCCTTTTGGTCCTTAGACATCCACCCCACAAGCATAGCACTCAACAAACCCGCACCGAACTGGAGCATTCTTCTTCACCATCGCGCACCAAGTTCCACAAATGCAGGGGCCTTCTCTTCCAAAAAAAACAAAACAAAAAACACACACACAAACTCAATGCGCCACCCTCACCTGCGAAGCCCAGAACCCTCCCAGGCCTACGAAAACAACAACCCAAGCCGTCTACTTCACTTGCAGCTCCTGCTCTGCAGTGCACCGCGGAGCGCCGGTCATCTTCATCGGCCCGGGGATCAGGGAGCGAGTGCCACCGGGTGTCGTCGGGGTTTTCGGCTTGTAGTTGAATGGCGACACCACTGCCGAAGCGGGAGACGAAGCTTTCGACTCGCCGGGTGTTGTTGTTGCCGTCGCTGCCGCCGCAAATGCCAGGTGGCTCTTCGGACTCTGGAGAGCTGGTATCTGCGAGCACGCCGGACCGCCCAGCTTGAGCCCCAGCACGGTGGGCCTACCACCTTCCTTGCAACTCGGGAGCAAGGAAGGCGAGACCACGGGACTGTGCGACGAGGCATCCGAGACCTTGCGGCCGGACCCAAAGACCCGCTTGGGTGGCGCTCCGCCGGAAAACAGTGGCTTGCTGGACGTCGGGGGTTCCGCCAGTTTCTTCCAGAAGCCGCTGGGCCGGACGGCTGGCTTGCTGCTGGCTGGAGGGACCGACGATCTGTTGCCAGTCTGCGAGTGGCCGGCTCTGGAAGGCACCTTGGACGCTACCGTGTCCCTGGACTCTGAGGACTCTACTCCGACGTCCGTCAGTTTCTCGTAGGTAGAGCTCCTGCAGAGGATTGGCTTCGCGGTTACCTGCTGTTGTTCTTCTGGACGGCTCGTTCTGTGGAAGATAGGATACACTGCCTGTTGTGGAGGCTGGATCGTCCCTTCCTTACTCCGACTCAAACTTCAAATCGCCTCTTCTACAACAAGCAGTGCTGAATTATACTGATAATAATCACTGGAGACGGGGAACAAGGGTGACAAAGGGCCAACATAAATCTCCAAACACAGCTAAAAGTCCCCGGTTTGATACCAGGACCAGGCGGGTTTTCTCAGTCGCGCACCAGTCAACTAGCTGTGTTTAAAGATTTGGGTTTGCCCTTTGTCCCCCTTCTCTAGTGATTATAATCGTTATACTTGTCCAGCTCGCTTGCACGTTTGCATTAATTGCATTACTATCATAACTGAATTATACCTCAGTGTTATTCTTTGTAAAGTTTCAGTTAAGTAATATTCTTGGTGTCTCATCGTCTGTTCTTAAACTTTCGAAATTGTTGCACGGGGTTTCGCGTTTACACTGTATTTATATAATTTTTTTTTATTAATGCCATCATCAGGAATCATGGCATTCATAAGCCGTAAAATCATAGAATCGACTTACAAAGAACTGAACAAAAAATGAAAGCCGTTTACAACTCCCTGTAACGCCGAATTCGAGCGCAGCTCTTGAGGAGGAGGGAAGGGTACTGGGGGGACCAGTTGACCTCGGAAGGGGGGGGGGGTCACGTGACCTGGGAGATTACGTGACCTCGGGGGGAGTGGTCACGTGACGATGACGTCATCAGTGATGGTGACGGTGACGATGCGGATGCCGATTACGTCATTGGCATCCACATCGCCATCGTCATTATGACTGATGACGTCATCAGTGACGTCACTGATGACGTCATCGGCATCGTCATCATCACTGATGACGTCATCGTCACGTGACCCCCCCCCCTTTAGGTCCTCCCGAAGGAACCCGAGGTCCTCCCGAAGGAGCCCGAGGTCCTCCCGAAGGAACCCGAGGTCCTTCCGAGGTCCTCCCGAAGGAACCCGAGGTCCTTCCGAGGTCCTCCCGAAGAAACCCGAGGTGCTTCCGAGGTCCTGCCGAAGGAACCCGAGGTCCTGGGGGGGGGGGGGGGTCACGTGACGATGACGTCATCAGAGACGATGACGATGCGGATGCCGATGAAGTCATTGGCATCCGCATCGCCATCGTCATCGTCACTGATAACGTCATCAGTGACGTCACTGATGATGTCATCGGCATCCGCATCGTCATCATCGCTGATGACGTCATCGTCACGTGACCCCCCCCCCTAGGTCCTCCCGAAGGAACCCGAGGTCCTCCCGAGGTCCTCCCGAAGGACCCCCAGGTCCTCCCGAGGCCCTCCCGAAGGAACCCGAGGTCCTTCCGAGGTCCTCCCGAAGGAACCCGGGGTCCTTCCGAGGTCCTCCCAAAGGACCTCGGGTTCCTTCGGGAAAATTTACCCATAATGCACCGCGCGGTTACGTCGACGGCGACACCGCTCAAGCCGGAAACGGGCGCCTAAGAGCTGCGCTCTAAAAGGGAATATCTGCAATCAACTAAATGTCAGCTTTTCAAATTTTCTTCGGGAAATATTTCTGGTATGTTACTTAGTACGACGACAACTAGTGTTAAGGCTGTGGAGATGTGACAACAGATAATTTCTAGGGCTGGGCATTTGGTTGGTTAACCTACCGATTAACCGGTTAGTGCTTTAATCACACTTAATTTTTTTAATCGGCTAAGTTTTGACGATCAAGAAAATTAAAAATTAAACGTTTCCACCACGGCAGACGTAGACGAGTACGCCTGTATGTTGGTTAACTAAATAAAATGTTGACCTAAAGCAAAGTGTACGACGAGATTTGTAATTCCATACAAGCGGAGAAGGTTATAGGTGTCCCGTCCACTTCAACGTTGTGCGAGTGTCCGTTCAGCGCAGCAGAGACTATTGTGAAAAATCAAAGGAGTTTGCTATTGCTGGAGAATATCAACGAACCTCTTTGACGAAAATAAACAGCGCGCAAAAATAGACAACGAGGAAGGAAAGGTGTGAACGATACAAGCACTTTTGTGTGTCGTTCGCATCTTCCATTCATCCTTGTCTATTTTTGCGCGCTGTTTATTTCCGATTACCATTAACCAACTCACCACTGAACCTCTTAACTTCTGCGGCTGAGGTAACCATTTATGAGTGTGGGTGTCTTTTGACTGTTCTGGAATCTGAACTAAACATCAAGGTTGATTTAAAACCTGAAATTGTACACTACCATTCATTACATATTCAGCAAAGGTAACCAATTTAATTTTAAGATCTTTAAAAAATATCTATATGGGAATGAGCGAAACCAATTAATCAATTAATTAATCGATTAAAAAGTGTTGAAATAAAAGAGGATTGTCACTGGTTTTCCTTTTCTTTTTTTTTCTTTAGATGCTTGCGTTGCAAAGCATTTTCATCCATTCATTCACCACTGACATGCAGAGAGAGCCAATGTTTTGGAAAATTGTGTTCTACTGATTGCCTTTCTTGTCTCATCAATTTATATATTTAAAAAAAACACTTAAGAGTGCTAACATGTAGGAATGCGAAAGCATTCGTACATGCAGCGTATTCCTACAAGCTGAGTGCCGCGCTGAGGCCGGCCGGGCAACCTATAGACGCTTTACACACGCGCCAAATTACAGCCGCCATTGCTGCCCTTCTCTTGTCTTACCGAGATGCCGAGCAACTAAAACGGTAGTTGACGATCCTCTACAAAGGCCGATGCTTTAGAAAATGACTCAGTTGAATCTAATGTGGCAATAACCTGGCCTGCTATGGTAATGATGAAGTGAAATAAACGAAATAAGAGGAAACAAAAACTGAAGGTCAGTTATGGCGGCGTCCATGCACAGCTGCTGCAAAGCTGCCCGGGCGGGCTCTGCCGGCCACCCTGTCCCTCTTACCGACGGCCAGGCCGCTGCGCCATGGAGAGGGCTTCATAGGAGTCATTTGGCTGGGAATTTTTCACGTTTCTCGCGGTTATATATGCCGCCGGCGCCTGGGAATTTCGCGTTTTTTCGCGGTTACAGGAACTGCCGGCTCCTCGCGTTGTTCGCGGTTACAGACGCCGCCGGCTCCGCTCCATGAAACAGTTAACGCATTAAAAAAGATATCTTGGAGGACTTTTAGGTTTCGCCTTTTAAGAGTGGAACGCGGTAGCGAAACATATAAACTCTAGTTCGTTCCTAAGCCATGCAAGTGTGTACGTGGCCTAGTCAGTAGCGTGTCTGGCTCGCAACCGAAGGGTCGTGGGTGCACATCCCACCTAAAATTTTTCGAATTTTTCGAATTACTAGCGACGACCTTTTATTCGCATTGTTTTTAATCACTTTCATTCCACGCATGACGTCACGTGTCACATGAGGGTTCTGGGTTGCTTGAAATTCCCACGCGAGGTCATGTGGTTGTGACGTCATGACCCTATCGACCAATCAGGATTTTTGCGGCACGCCACCGACACCGGCTTTTCTGCCACGCCACCGATATTCTGCGACACGAGCACCTTAACGCTATCCGGTAATATTTTCCTCGGGAGTTTTTGATCGGTTGAAAGTAGGAGAGGAGATATTGTTTGAAAACAGTATTGCAAGAGATAGTTCCGAGCAAAAAGAAAACAGTTCTATGTGAGAAGTACATTGGAAGCCCATAATCATGAGACTGTTTGCTAACATAATTTTTCGTAGAAACACCAATAACTTTGCACTTTTACATAGTGCCTGGAAATAAAAAAAAGACATGCCTGTGTGTCTGAGAAAGAAGATTCACTCAAGAGGGTTGAAACACTTCTTTGTTTCGAGAATGTGTGACGGCTGATTCAGAATTTCACATTGAATGAATTCGGAGATTTATGGCTCAACAAATTCTGCTTACAAAAACGTGAGATTAATGCTTCACCAAAAAAAAAACCTTTTCTCTGACTGCAGTTCGGTGACTTAATGTTGCTGAAGTTTCACCACTTCGTAAAATCACCTGTTCCAAATGTCCAAAATTAGCAGTGGTATTGCACTGGCTCCATTTCTCACCTACAGTGGAGACACCAGACGCCCACTGGGACTGACTTCTTTCCTAGAAACTCGTACTAATAATTAAAAAAAATGGTTAATTTTAGTTACACACTCTGCATGCTCTATAACAGTGGTTCTCAAATGGGGGTCTGCAGACCCTTTCGAGTCCGCGAAGCATTCGATGGATACGCGAAGCACTGCCTCATCAGTAAAGCCCGGCAATAAAAGTTGTCTCTTTTCAAATCGAAAAGAAATATGTTTCAGTTTTCAGGCGAGTTTTTTCAAGTGTATGTCAATGAGAGAATTCTACTTCACAATAGCTCTTATTTATCATTTTATTAAATTATCATCATAATTAACCTATACATTTCCCTTCCGCTCACCACGAACGGGGTCCTCCATCATCTCCACCAATCCACAAGGGGTCCGCGAAACATTGATGGTTGAGAACCGCTACTCTATATTATCTCTAATAATTCTTTTGAAACATTCCAAAACGTGATTGGAGCGCTGCCTTCCCAAGCACCCCCTGATTCAGTCTCCTTCTCGCACCCCGAAGCAAATATGACAGGGGTCAATCTTTGTTGCCACACGTAAAGAACTGTGACATTGACAGGGTGAGACTCAAATATAGAACAAATCAAATAGCACAGAGGCTAATGCAAAACAACAACAACCACAACGAGTTTACAGGAAACATAAATCCCCTATCCTGATGCCAGTACCGACAGACCCGCATATTATATTAGTGTTGAGGGTTGTGGGGATCACGAGGATCGCGATAAACTTAACCAAAGACTGCGAGGTGCGCGATTAGGCGTGTAAGCTGCGACCTCCGAGACCTGCTTTTTGTGGATGTGTGCGTTGTTGCTTTTGTGCTTTCTTATTCTGTTTCAAGTTTTACATAACCTTGTCGCGGAGCAGCCGACGCTGCGTGATTCATATATATGGACAATGATGATGCAGTTAGTACATCGATCTCACCTGTCAAGCTTTGGTGCTGCCTTGACGCCAGCCCTAGCAGCACTTGCGACTCCACTGGCAACGGGATTTGAGCTCTCCTTCCTCTTCCAGAGAGATGCAATCTTGCTAGGAATGGCCTCCTTCTTTGGCACGGCTGCTCTCCTGGAGGGCGCGGCAGCACTGCCCGAGCTCGACTGGGACGTCAGGCTGGCCGCACTGCCAGACTTCTGCACCCTCAGGATCCCTCCGCTGCTTAGGCTCCGCACGTACGAACCTTTCTTCTCGTCCCCGCCTAGACTCTGGGAGCTGGGCGACTGCGGGATGGTTCTCCTCTTATGAGCGGCGGCGGCGCTGGAAGACAGTCGGCCGGCGTCCGCTGGGACACTCGATGCCGAAGCGCTTTTCGTGGGCTGCGTTTTGTGTCTCGGACTGCCACCAGTACTTTTGTTTTCACGCTCCGTGGATTTCTCCCGACCTGTGGCACGCCGTCCATTTGGTATGTCGGAAGCAACGTTTTCAGCTTCTGCCGAATCGGTGGGAGAGTCTTTCGTAAAGGTGCCCTGTCGGACCAAAGGAGGTGGTTCTGTTGCACTAACAGAACTCCCAGTCACAACCTGCTCCAGACTCTTCGGTCTGACGGATGGTTTCGGAGCAGAACAGCTTTCGACAGCAGAGATGCTTCTGGTGTGGATCCTCGGAGTCCTTATGCTGAGTCTCTCGAGTGACGACCTACCTGGCGAACTCGGCGCTGTTCGCACAGAACGCTGGGGTGAGGAACTCTTGACCTGTCGTGGACCTTCTGATGATGATCTTTGATTCTGTGAAGCTCGTAGGGCAGAAGCTTTAGTATGCTTAATTGGAGACGAGTTTGGAGAAATGGACTGTCGTGGGGACCCAGTTCGCTTACCTCCAGGCCTGGAGGGGGAGAACTCTTTCCTTCGAACTACGGCAGGACCAGAGGTAGCCTTCTCTTGCTCCTTTTTCTCTTGAAGTTGTTTAATGGTGTCCCTATTGATAGGCTTCACAATCCTAGGACCTCTAGAAAAAGAGGGCTTACATTCAGCTTCTATTCTTTCGACTGCCACTGCCTCCACAATTTCTTCCACATTTGCTACATCAGAGTCATTAGACACCAAAGAAAAAGTTTCATCATCCAATTTGTAAGCTGTTCTGTCGACAGGAAAACTATCACAAAATCTTTCCCTTGCCTGTCTGATTGTCATTGCTCCCAGACAGTGTCTATTTCCAGGGTGTCCTTCAGAGTTCGAAATGCTCTTAAAACTGTTCTCGTAATCCTTGGTAATGTCATCTGCAGCAGCAGAAATGTGATCATCAGATTCCAAAGGTTCCACATCAGCCGATGTACTGGCAAGGTTCTCGGTACTATCCCCAAACTGTTCCTCTCTCATCAAAGATGAAACCTGTCTAGGGTGAAGAGTTTCAGTTGTTGATGTAAGCGGAGCATCGTCATCTTGCATCAGGTCATCGTCAAACTCAATGTCCGACGCGAATCCGTCTGATCCCATTTCTGTCACATCTTCAAAAGTCACCTGGTTTATGTCTTGATAGACAGATGGGGGTTGCACATGCTCAAGCATTTCTGAGGTACCGCTGCTGCTCTTCGTGCTACCATTCATAAGAGTGTTGAGCTCCCTGGAGTACACCTGAGCCATATTGGCAGCTGAATTCAACCTCTCCGAGATATCACTCCCTCGCTTCACTTTGCTCACGCTGGGTTCTGGAGCAAGTGGACTAGACTGGCTGTTAGCATCGTCGTCGTCGCTTGGAATGCTGTTTAGACTCATGCAGCTCCCACTGAGTGAAATGTCATCCATTGTTGATGGGGGGTTGACATTGTCTAGCTCTTCTGAATTCCCATTTTGGCTCATGATGCTTAAATTTTCTATCGACCCCATGGCTGATGGCGGACCTACAAGCTCAAGCAACTCAGAATCACTGTAAGGAGATCCCAATGAGCCACCCAAAGCACGGCGCACCGTTTCTGGAACACGCTTTCTTCTCGGAACCTTTCCATTCTTCCCATTAGAAGAGACATCTTCAGATAGGCCACTGCTTGTCATGCTCATAGACAGCAGGTCTCCCATAAGAGATGGTGGTTTGGCACATTCCAAATCAGACATCAGGCTGACAGTGCTCTGCATCATCTCATCCTCAATTTCTGGCTTCACCGCTCTTGCTTCTAAGGCAGCATTGCCCGCATTCAGGGTGACAGCTGGAACTTCCTCATCAAAAAGCCGAGATACAGCATACAAGGTGCCACTTGTCCCAGCCTGAGAGGGATGTACTTGACTCACTTTTAATGTGGATGAGGTTGTGGTAGAAGTTGTGGTACTGGACGAAGAAGTCCCTGTTAGGCAGCTCTCTGTCATACTTGCCTGCTCTGTTTCTCCCACAGCAAGACAGGCAATGTCGCACTTGGACTTTTCTTGAGCCTTCTCGTCCTCCTTACCCTTTTCCTCGTCAACAATTCTGTCATTTCGAAGCCTGGAACTCGCCATGCCCAAGTTGGACTCTGTCTTCCTGGTCTTACTTTGCTGGAGTGCTCCAGGGGTCCTCTTCTGAGGGAGGCAGGAACCCTTCTGAGCTTTGTTGAACTTTTCAATTTTTTCTCTTATTGACAGGCTAAGTTCAGGGGGCAGGCAAGCACTGGACTGGTTCAAGTGTCCTCCACCTGTGCTACCTGCTGATGTTCCAGTTTGAAAGTCCTGGACAACAGGTGCTTCTGCTTGGGGATCAGAGGAGGCTTCCTGTTCTGGTGGAAGTTGTGCAAGGGGTAAGTTGGACTTTGAAGGCTGAGATGGTGCTACAAAACTGAGATGGCCTGTGAAGTAAGAAGGGGTGAATACCTCCAATTAGTACAAATAAGCCTTTTATGCATTCAATTATATTGCCCGACTCTTTTCAGTAAAAAAAAAATCATCTGACTACCAAAGAACCCTTGGCTTAGCATTAATTAACGGGACTATAAATTGCGAAAATGTATTTTGTGCAGCTTTTTGCTTATGTACCTGACACTCCTCTTGAGAAAAGCTAAAAGCATAATTCTAAAGCGACTTCCTTTTAAACAAATGTAAGACTCATAAAGCAATTAAAATCAATAAAATATGTAAACCTTGTCATTTTCCTAAGATGGTAGAACACGAATAGTCCCATCGGAAAACAGCATTGGAGTAATAACGGCTTGCCACAGCTTTGTAGACAGACATAAATGCAGACTTTACAGGGGAGGAGAAGTGATTCTGTATTTAAAGCAAAACCCTTGATTCTTGTTCCTTTGGCATTCAGCATCACAGGTATCACAATTTTAATATTTTGTGATTTTATGCACACTAGCTAAGCAAGAAACAAATGCCTTCAAAATATTGCTGAAATAACATCTTTCCCTGGGCTGACATCATTGTGGTACCACTCACACCCACAGAGATAATATCTTCACTGGTACCGGGCATATTTTACACAACCACACAAAAGAAATTGTTGCATAGAAAATCGAGCCAAAAAAAACATGTCACATAAAGAAATACTGGGGATGGCACTGGCCAGAAAAACTGATGTGCTTCATCAAGCAACAGTCAGGATTGGCACCATGTTTAAGGATTAAAAGCGCCAAAAAATGATGGACGAGTAGAAGAGCCACACACCACAGTGACCCTGTATGAATAGGAGCTTTTGTATTTACGATCATGCACACTGTGAAAACGGAAAATGTGATGAGTGGCAATCGGAGTGAATGGGATGTGTGTCTCGTCGGCTTTGCGGTGGGTGTGTTTTTCTAAAGATTAAACCAGTTGCGCTCTGTGGTGTGTGTCTCTTCTACTCATCCATCATTTTTTAGCGCTTTTAATCCTTACACATGTTCAACTAACTAGCCCGAATGCAAACCCTTCTACAACTGGCACCATAATTTGCCTCGTTTTCCTCATTTTATTTTTCACATTTACATACATGTTCAGCAGTTATTATATTCATATTTATCACACAAAAACGTGTCCAAATTTACCGTAGAGCAATTTTTTTTTTCAAGAACCACTTCAGCCTCCTTTTAAAGATTGGAGACTGGAATGCAGAAACATAAATACCTGGCTGTAGAATCCTTGTGACTGCAGAGCAACCTGGAAGACTGTTAGCAGAATCACAAAGATGAGGTTCAGAAGGGTCGTCCGCTGGCCGAGGCTGAGGTACAGGAACCGCCTGCTGCTGAAGCTGCACAGGTTTGGCGGCCACCGGAGGCCTGGCACCGCCCTTCTTCTTCCCATAAATGTATTCGTGCAAGGAGGGGCTCGGTGCAGAGTGCCCAAAACCACAGCAGTGACCCGTGGGCCGCTTGGCGGCGTTACCAGCAGTGCCATGTTGCTGTGATGGAGCAGAATCTTGGCCAGATCCATGCCTACGTCTTTGCTGTTGCTGTATCTGCTGCTGCTGCTGCTGCTGCTGCTGCTGCTGCTGCTGCTGCTGCTGCTGCTGCTGCTGCTCCTGAGCACAATCGCTCTTGGTCAACAGCGACAGCTGCGACAGTGTAGAACCCTGCTGAATTTGGTGAGCACTTTGGTGTGGGGGAACAGGGGGAGGGGACCTCGGCCTGTCAGACGTGATGCTACTCATGTCACCAGCAGCTCGCGAAAAAGGATTAGGGCGGCCAGCAACAGACTTGGCTTCAAGGCTTGACTCTTGTGATGGTTTCTTCATTGTGTTGTTGATGGCTTTGGCGATTCGAGGTGGTGCGACAGATTCTTCTTTTGAAGGCCTAGGAATACCAGCCTTTATGGGAATGCCACTGCTTCTGAGGGAGCCAGTCATGCTGTTTGAATTGCTGCCCTGGACCCCATCTCTCGGTGTGCTGCCCTGCGGCCGATCGGCTTCCGTTGGCTCCTGAAGAAAACATCAAGTGCCATTCAGACATGCAAGGATTACGGAAGACAGCCGATGGTCACAAATGGCATTGACTACTAGAATGACCTTAATTAAGTTAAAACAGATTTTCTGACCACAGGGACAATAATGTGATGGGCCTGGTTTGCTTAATAGAACTCGTGGCTGGTGTTACAAGACCTAATCTAGCAAATTCTAGCGTGAAATCCTGAAATTAATTAAATAAACAAGGTTTTGAAGGTCAGATCTACCAACCCAACAAATGAACACATACTCAAGAACATACCACAGGAATAACCTCATATGAGTCATCTGACAAACGAAAAGCAATGCCTAATGGTATGATTCAAATATTCAATAACTACAATGAGAGCAATCTTTGACAAGGCTGATGCTTCTTCCGGTTGCAAGACAGATCCCATTGAATGCTGACAAGAAAAATTCTTAATGTACGTAATATACAATGGGAAGATCCTCATACCACAGAAGACATTGTACATGGAAGCTGATAAAAGATTGTGTTGAAGATCGACTTAATCTACTGGAGCACAGACAAATAAAGATACAATGCAAAGTGCACACACAGCAAGATTTTGTGTAGGCCTCAAAAGAATGGATCGTTGTAGGCATGGAGGTATGCAAGCTGAATGAAATATTCAATGCGTCACTGCCTCACACAGGACATGTCGCTGAACAAGAAACAAAAGGATTTTATACTCATTTTGATATCTAATACACCTTAAAAAGAACTTGTAATCTAACTTGCCCTATGACAAATGGAATGACCAAAGAAGAAATGGAGTGCTGTCTAAAAAGAAGGTGATGCAATTTTCAAATCACAAAGGGTTAATATTTGCAGACTAAATGTCCATCAAAAGAATTTAAGAAGATGGTGAACCATGTCCCCTCACTGGGTCACCATGTTACAAGCACGCATCTCTTCAAAACCCAAGTCCGACATGATGCAATGGGCAACACCGACTTTACTTTCAAACTTGGGTGTGCAAGAAAGTGATCAAGGATAGAATTTAAAGGAAACAAAAGAGCTGAATGGCCCCTGGCAAAAATTAAGAAGCAAAAAGGGGACACATATTGGATCTCATTAGTATGAAGGGGGAGTGGGTGGGGGTAGCAGGTACAGTAGAGACCCTATAAAAAGAAAGGCCTGGGGAAAAAAGTAACTGACAAAGAGCTACCGTTCTACACCTCAGCCGCCAAGTTCAGGCTCCGGTAAAGGATGAAATGTGCAAAAGTTTATATTTCTATTCTATAATCACCGTCAACAATTTTGATAGACATTGACCAGGTTAGCTTAGTTTAAGAAATTGGGAACAGTGCGCAAAAAAGACGAGGACAATGAGAGTAGAGCACAGGGAAAGGGCATGTTCACGCATTTTTTTGCGATGCTGTGTCAATGTAAGAGGGTGCGTGAACATGTCCTTTCCCTACGGTCAATGACAGGAGGTTACTTGTGCGTACACTGCAGAGACTGCTTGTGTCACCCCATCTTCAAAGATACCATAATCATTGGCAGGGGGCATACAAAAGTGCAAAGAGCGGTGCTGGAGGCGCATACAATGGGAAAATCTGGCTCGGGGCACTGCATCAGCCAGCCTTCGGTTTATTGATACAAAAAAGAGATAGATTTTATAGAGGCCTGGTGAGCGACATGCCACTGGTAGTTACGGCGTTGGTTGGTTGTGTGGTGTTTTCTTGTTTCAGACGTTTTCAATAAAACTTCAGTTGATAGTCAGCACCTGTTCTGTGCTCTCCTCACGTTGTCCTCATCTTTTTTGCGCGCTGTTCCCAATTTCTGAAGGGGGGACATGGGCCTAAGCTTCAAAATGTTTTGAAAAAATTAATTTTCAATTTTGAAGTTTTTGGTTTTAGAAACTAATTATACACCCTTACACTAAATTTCATAACCATGCGCCAAATAGTTCCGTTGATATAAAATATTTTCAACACATTGTCAGGCAGTAACAAAGTAAAGGAGTTCAATGTTTGAATGCATTTTTCTTAGTTCCACTTTTTGCTGCAAATATCATACGAAGGAATCTTTTGTTCGAAGGTAAAATTATTCTGATACCACAATCAAGATGTTTCGGAACTGAAATTTACTGGGGAATTGGGCTATCTACTTTATTTTGTTTTACATTAAAGTCCTCATTGAGAAAAGAACATATTTTCAAAAATTGACATAGGACAGATATGCATCTCATATTTTGAGGTAATCACTCTTCCTGAAATATTTACATTTGAGTTATAAAAACTAGATAGCCCGAAGTCCCACATCCCTCCCCTTTATACTCAAGCAGTTAAAATGATGCTTAATAGCTTCATTTGCATATTATAGATTTCTTAACGAAGAGTGACACATCATCTTATGCAGGTATGTAAAGTTGTCCTAGAGAGCTGAAAGTTTGCACAGTACACCTACATCTTAAGTTAAATCTCCCCTGAAAATTTCATTCCGATCACTTGAGTAGTTCAAAATTTCAACCTCTAGCCAGCGTCCCCCCTTAAGTTATGAACCAACTCGCCTGCATCGCCATCCTAATTTAGCTTAGCTGCTACAGTGCTGCAGTCCTGCATTGCTGCGAGAGTATCCGGTTTCAGCTTGCATCTCATTACGGTGCCTGGAATGAGTCTTCCGCCGGTGTGTTTAGCGTCCTACCCCGCACCATACATCAAAAGTGGCAACAAATGATGTCACGGGAGCCGGTGTGTCATGCTGTCGGATGTCCCGATCTCGGCGGTTGGTGCTAGAACTCACAGAAAAAAAAAGTATGAGCGAACGCGAGTGTTGCCGTTGCAGCGTCCCAACTCCCGAATGCCAAACTTTCTGTGGACTGCCAAGCTGGAGAGCAACCTGCAGTGGAACAGGCGTCCGCCGCATCCAGCACTGCTGCTGTAACACCGCCCGGATCGCAGCCGGTGACAGCATAACACCTCGATGACGTCGTTATGCAGAAATTGGGGGACCAGATTTTAGGACACTGTAAACACGCAAGTCGGAGGCGCATTCCACACACCCCTAGTCTCATTCCCATGCACTTGCACAAGCAGCTTTGTCAGCTTGGAGCACTGCAGAAGCTACACTACCCTCGACGACAGAGCACAAGATAGATGGCGCCGAGCGTAGCGACTGCAAAAGTTTGCTACAATCCTCCAATTTTGTTCTCGCCGATGGACGTAAAATCAAACTCCATTTTTTTCTGATATAGACTCATTGGGAAAAGTGTCTTTCAATAGGCAAGTAGATCAAACCAGCCCTATTTGTTGGCTAACACAGCAATATAGAAAGAATGGAAGTGTGACCGAGATAAAGAAGTGGCCCGATAAACGGGTGAAAAAGAGTGAAAGGGTGAGCGCACGGGCAAGCCAGTGAATAGTTGACCTAACTTAACCCGAGACAGGGAAAAGGAAGACAAAATATTGGTCGCATGTTTGGTCATTTTGCCAAACGCATTTAAAAGCGGTAGCTTCATAGGGTGGGTGGTGCTCTTATAGTTTGGGTAGTACCTAGGGCAGGATGACCCTTAGTCTTTCAGTGCCTGGGGTGAGTGGTGCTCTCAGTTCAGGTGGTGCCTAGGGCAAGGTTTTGTATGGATACAGATTACATCCTACCATTGTTTCCAGATACAAAGCTTTTGCACTGAATCTCCTGGGTCACCAAGAGAGGGAAAGTGCACTTTCCTGCCCTTTCCACCCCTCCTCGTTTCGCACACCCTCTTTACACCTGTTTCTGCTCCTTTCTTGCCTTTTCCACTCCCCCTGCTCCACGTTTTCTCACACCACCTGCTTTTGCTCCTCCCATTCCTTCATGCTGGATCCGTAGCTTAGTCAGCAGCTTACTTGGCTTCCACGCCGGTGACGGGGGTTCAATCCCTGGCACTGGTTGCCATTTTTTTCAAGATCATTTAGTGGTTACAAACTGACCGACCTACAGCTTTTGTACTAATGAGACTTCTAAAGTTGGTTGGCCCTACAAACCTACCGCTTTAAAGGACAACACAATGTCTCCGACATTTTGTGTTGTCTTTGTTTTTGTGTCTTCCTTTTGTTTCCCTAAGTTATGTCAAAAAAGAGTGCTTATATATAAATACTGTGTTCGCACGATTCTAACGCGCAGGCAAATTTAGCTTCCAGATATTCAAAAAGTAAATTGCTGCCAATTCTACCACGCAGGTAAAATAATGAAGATTGAACATATACCTCATAGAACAGATTTTATGAAATGCATAAATGGCATGCACTAGTCATTGCTGTCAGAGTCCAAGGATGGGTCTTCGCAGTCCACAAAGGTAATCTTTGCTTTTGCACTTTTATGAGTGTGCAACCATAGCCTCTGGGAGGGTTGTCTTCCAAACAATACTTTATGAGTTTGTTGGGTCACTGGGATTGTGAGGCCATGCAGGGCTGCTCCGTTCTCATCTTTTCCCGCCAGCATGATGGCCTTTCGTTTAAATAAAACCTCTAAGAGGAATTTCTTTTTGTTTTTCCATCTTAAAACGGCAAGCAGACACGAGTCCGTAGACGCAAGAGGATGCGTGTGAGATGGATACCAAAATGGCGAATGTAAACAAACAGCCACAATGGCGATGGGGCTATAGCCATCTTATACCGAGTACTGGAGTTTCAGTTTTTGGTTTCAATTGTAACGCGCATGTAGTTTTGGGCACCGATTTTGGCAAAAAAAAGTGTGCCTTAGAATCGTGCAAACACGGTAAATGATACGGCAAAAATTTTCTGTATGAATTCTGCAAACCCACCTTGTGGTTTCGGCGAGTAGGAGAGAAGAGATCGGATTCAGAGAGACACTCATCTTCTTCTTTCTCGTCGACCCCTGGTGCTTCCTTGTGCTTCTCGGCAATTTGCTGACCCACCATGTCGGGGATGTCCTCCAAGCTTCCTAAATCTGTCAGAATCACCGTATCACTGGCGCACTGCACACGTAGTCCCCTCAGTGAAGACTCTGGGCTCTGTGGTCGCTGAAACACCTGCCGCATATCAGTCACTAGATGGGGACCCCGTTCGGGGGACCTACTGCCAGTCCGGTCGAAGTGGTAAAAGCGATTTGGCCCCCCAGAGGTCGGGTTGACAGGAAACGACGAGCAGTCTGCTGTCTCGTCCTCTTCCTCGAATCCGGCCAAGCACAACACGCCATGGTCTCGGAGGTGGTCTTCGCTTGTTCGAGGCCCGTACTTGCCGAAGGCTCCGGAGACCTCGGAGATGCGCAGCGCATGACCCACTGGTACTTCCATCTCGTTCCCATTGACTACCTCTGCGTCTTCCTCCACCAAACGGTGAGAGGTCGAATTGGCCAGCGTCAGGTTCAGGTTGCCGAGCTCTCGGCCGTGCCCATACCGCTCGAACAAGTGCCTTCCCCTTCTGCGCTGCCTCGAGAAGACGGACTGGGGGGGCCTCAGGTGGCTCGGCTCCGAATGCGTGCTGCCGATGCTGTCCCGGCTGTCCGAGCGAGGCACCCGTTCCCCGGCTACGCTGTGGTACATCCTGCCAGGAAGGTACGTCTGAAAGCGTTCCAGCAACTCGGGCTGGAACCCAAACGCAAAGCGGGGCTCTCCCGTCGGGCTCGCGCGCGGACTGTCAATGTTGTCGCACGTCTCGGAAAGGCTTGCGTCCAGCTCGGTCTCCAAGGCCTTCCGCTTGCGCACCGCCAGAGACGGGAGGTTGTCGTTTCCGTTGCGATCTTCGTCGTCATTGTTGTTGTTGCGGCCGTCGCAGTCGGTCAGCTTGAGCTCCGCACCGGCCGAGAGGAGGTTCTTGAGTGCTGCGGAGCTGCCCATGGAAATCATCTTGTGCTTGGAGTGGATAAGGTTGCGTAGCATGGCCACCGCTCCCATCTCCCAGAGGCTGCGCTGGTCCTGGGGGCAGTGGGCAGAAAGGTTCCAGAGTGTGCCACAGGCGTTGCTCACCACAGTCAGGCTGGGGGACTTGAGCTGCTGCAGCAGGACCTGGAGGCAGTTGTAGTTGCGCAGGGTCTGCCGATGCTCCTCCTGCAGCGCAATGTAGCTGGACACGTTGCGGAGAATTCCGCCGCCATTCTCGACGATGGCCAGGGTCTTGGACTGACTCCGGTAGGTGAGCGTGCTTACGAGGAATGCCAGTGCACCCTCGACATTGCAGATGTCCACCTACAAAAAGTAGAGAAGATTCGAAAGAGGTTGAGGCACCCGAGATAAAGTGGATATGATCGTAAAGGGCTACTACTACTCTGAGCTGCCGAAATTTCATTTGGATGTTGCCATATTGCAGTAGAGGTAATGATAACTGAATTGTTTTTTGTAAAATGGCTTATGGTAGCTGAACAAATGCTATTGCATTTAAAAGAAAGATATCACTGCTTTCAATGAAAAAGCAAATAGAGTGCACAGTAAAAAAAAGAAGTGTGCACTCACGCATGGCCGGCGAAAGCCTGAGGCAGAGTAGCGACAATCCTGAAAGAATGCTTCGGGAATGGCTGGTGTCTTAGACCTCCCTCGTGCATTGAAAATGAAACCTGCCAGATAACCTTATTTCCACTGCATTGACGCGGCTGGAGCGCCACATGTCGCCCTTTCATCAGCCCAGCAATCACTCGCTTGTACTGACTTTTGGTGCCGATTACACACAGCAGCTGTAATGATGCTTATCAAAGACGCTCCACCGGTGCAGAGATAAGGTATCAGATTATGAAGGAAAAGTTCGTGCTTCGATTCCCAGTGAGGGACAAAGCATTTCTTGTAAAGACACCTGACCATGCTATTCTGTTCTCGTCAAAACATTTCTTTCTGAAAACACATTCTGCATTAAAATATGCAACAACGTGAAGCTTAACCACCGAGCCTGGTTAATTAAAAAAATTTTGTTTCATGCTCCAAAACTTTGGTAACTTCGGAAGCATGAAAAAGCCTCAAGATTCTGCCAACTGCACCTAAAACAGAACGCATGCTTTACTGCTTTTATTTATTGTTTGCATGGTCGATTAAACAGCAAACAATAAATGCAGCCAAGCAACTGGGCCAAACAAGCCACAAAGCCAGGTCAAACATGGTAGCGTGCATGTGCCATGGTGCCACCATCGGGTGGCTAGTATTATCCTTGGCACTCTCCCTACAGAAGCGACAAATAGTGTGGAGTGCGCACGGCCAACAAAGCCAGGCTGGAGGAATCGCACAGCCCTCGGGGACATTTTGTTTATTGATACAACACAACAAACATGCCATGATCTGCGTATCTGTTTTAGGACAGTGAAATCGTGCAAGTGGTTAGGCCTAGCAACCATTGCATAGCTGATGTATGCAGAGACCGCGTTGGTAATTCTAGAGGTAAAGCTTTTTTCTACAAGAGAACACCGACAACACCCTTCGACACGTTCATGATTTGTACTGCACGCTTATGGTGGCATGCTTATGTCAATGGAGACATGCTAAAGTCAAGGACCATTTATCATAAGCAGTACTCAAAAAAATGTGTAATTTGAGCGTATTTTTTTTTGTTGTTCATCGGAAGGACATTTTAAGATAAAGCGTTTCAGTCAGCTTAAAAATTACAGAGAATCGGCTATAGATTGAATGATTCCCGCCTCCTTAAAATTACTGTTCTACAAAACCCCCGTCAATTCTAAACTGCAATAATCAATGTCTGGTATTTAGAATCAAGGACTCAACTTGAAATCGACTCAGAAACGGAATGTATTTCCAAAACTACCCCTCACATTTCATTCTTTCTAAACAGCTGATGCAACACTGCAAGTACTACAACAATGAAAAACAACTTACCATTACCATATATCTTTTGCAACATAGGACACTATCTCGTCTCTGCTTGTTTCGTAAGATATGTTACAGTAATCACTTGGTCAGCAGAAGGTTTCCAACACAACTTTATAGTCAGCATGGATAGACCACTAACATAAAGTCGATATGTGCCCTGCAAGCGAAAGTTTATTTTAGGACTACCCTCCACACCTCAATGGGTTCAAAGAACCCTCCTGCACTTTACCATAAAATAATGAGAGATGACCCGCCCCCGAAAGGTAACCCACCCCCTATTCTTGGCTTGATTTGCTTTTTCTTTTTAAACACTGAAAGATAGCCCACTCCTAGTAATCATAGTGCTCGGATCAATGACGACCTCGGCGTAAATGCGTCTAGTTAGCTATGGCGGGATGTAAGCGAACATTGCTGACTGTGAAGTGTAGTCATCTTTGTTTCATTGATTCGCCGCAAGAGCAAGTTTGGGAAGGACAAATAACCTAAAAATAGAATTTTTTCAACTTCTCTCGATTGCACACTGAAAGTTAGCCCACTCCTTATTTTCACCCAACTTTCTTTCGAATTTAGGTGGGCTATCTCCCGGGATATTATGGTAACCCTTTGTGCTACAAAGAGCTGTCATAGCTGCGCTATTTTTATTGCATTGTTGCTCATTCTCTCATTATTTTTAGATCGCTAAAACCTAGTCTCATCTGTACTGCCTCCGACCCTTCGAATCAGTAAGTAAAAGGAAGGAAATTTGTGTGTTTGAGACATTTACTTTGCACTTGTGCCCCCATGTGTGTGACCCTCTCATGTCTAAGATGCTCAAGGACCCTTTAGATTCCCTTTAGAGTAGTAGGACTTGCAAAACCAACAGGAATGTTACTTCCATGAGTGTGCAAAGGAGGCTACCTTGTTGGCTGTACAGTGCGCAGAGAGATTCCAGAGTGCAGAAAGGATGCTCTTGAGTGTTGCCTCTTTGTTGGCCTCCATGGATGCCCTCATAAGCAGGGCCACTGCGCCCACTTCTCGTAGCGTCTCCCGACTTGACGAGTCTGCCCTCCAGGAGAGGTTCCGCAGAACGCTTGCCGTCACCTGCAGTGCAGCACCACAGAAACGCGTCTTTGACTGGCGTTCTATATTGCCCATGCATCGAAAGTGTCCCAAAGTGTTAACAAATGACATCACAAAAGCCGGAGTGTCATGCTGTCGAATGTCGCAATCCTGGCAATTGGTTGCGGAAGTTTCGGAAAAAAAATTGTGTGATGATTACACAACGTAATGCGTTTAGACAGCGGCAGCAAGGTCATGGGGCGTTTTCCTGCCAAATTTAGCGGTGGAACTGAATCGGTGCATAGGTCATGCGACGTAAATTTTTCCGCTAAATTTAGCGGGGAACCTGAATTTCCCTGCAGGTCCTATGACGTCAGGTCACGTGACATCAATTTCCTCGCCAAATATAGCGCAGAAACTGAATTGGTGCACAGGCGGTCACGTGACGTGAATTTTTCAACTAAACTTAGCGGGGAACCTGAATTTGTCTGTAGGCCCTGAATATGTCTGTAGACATTAATTTTCCCGCCAAATTTAGGGGGGGAACTGAATTGGCGCATAGGTCACGTGACATGAATTTCCCGCCAAATTTAACAGTGAAATTGAATTGGTGCATAGGTCATGTGACGTAAATTTTACAGTGAAGCTGTTTATGGCTAGTATTCCATGAATTTTTCGTGCACAGTGACCAAAAACTCTACGTCCGCATTGCCGCACGCGCCGCACGTGCAAGCCTTCCCCGTATAAAAGATTCTAAGTAAATAACCAAAATAAAGCGTTGACGAACGCACGTGCAAGATGTCATTTGTTTTAGGCTTTTGATTTAGAACAGTTATAGCTGCAGACGCCAGTACGTGCGGGGCATGAAACACCATTCCCTGCAATCTCCTTGATGCTTGGATAATTTAGCAATACGTCTATTCAGTAGATTAGTTATCAATAGGCACCATTTTCAAGATCAGTAGGCTCTCAGGTAGATAATAAAGAATTCTCGAAGATTTGCCGCTGTGCGACCCTCGTCAGCAATGTCTACGCTCGCACCGCCCTCTCTTTGTCATTGTTCCAAGCCGCTTGCGTGCCTAGTTTCCTTTCCTTCCGCTCTCCCGGGGTAGCGATTCCGATGCGTGCGTCTGCTTTCAGCCGGGTGGCGGTCCCGTCATGCATGTCTAGTTTCCTCCAGCCCCTCAATGCAGGTCTGCGTCGTGTGCTAAATAGCTTTGCTGGTCATCCACCTTCAAAGTAGAATGGCTCACTTTTTTTTTGTTTTGTTCTTTTTCGCTCAACTTAGCAGGTAACCTGAATTTGACCGTAGGTCCCGTGACGTCAGGTCACAGTCCACACATAAAGAATAAAAAACACTGAAATAGATCAGGGATAGACACTCACAGTTCTTTCAACGAGCAACGATATTTATACGACGCCCATCGCACTGCGAAAACCACTTTGGTTACTCATTGAAAGAACTGTCAGTGTCTGTCCCTCGTTTTTTCAGTGTTTGTATTCTTTCTGTGTGAACTATAGTCTATCCAACGCGCCCTGCTACGTGTATGTCGGGTCACGAGACATTAATTTTCCTGCCAAATTTAGCGGGGAAACTGAATTGGTGCATAGGTAACGTGACATTAAATTTCCCACGAAATTTAACAGGGAAACTGAATTGGTACATAGGCCACGTGACGTAAATTTTTCAGCGAGGAACCAGAATTTGTTCGTAGATATGCGACATTAAGTTTCCCACCAAATTTAGCGAGGAACCCGAATTTGTCTGTGGGCCCTGTGACGTCGGGTCACGTGACATTAATTTTCCCGCCAAATTTAGCGGGGAAACTGTTTATATTCGTCTCACGCCATTGCAAAACCGGAAGAACGGGCCACTGACAGCTGCCGCTGTAAAAGCACGCGGAAATGCAAGTGTCGCCGTCGTCACGGCATCTCATCTCCTGACTGCCGAAGCTTCCGTGGACTGTCCAGCAAGTCAGTTCGGGCGGAGATCGAGGGGCCATTTTGTGTAAAGACACCATTCGGACATGCACTCCAAGCACCATACATATAGCCAAACAGACCTGCCCTTATAAGTATGCCCCATATGCTGCTGTGGTAAACAATTGAGGCCAATGTTTCTTCTTGCTTGAAGAAACAGTGAACTTCCAGAAAACCTTTTTTTTTAGCATCTACATGGAACATGAATGCCACAAACGTTTCCCGAATTTAGAGCAACAGTATTTGTGTTGCGTGACACTGCTTCCACTTCTGAAATACCGCCACCTGTGAGAGGGGGCGGTATTTCAGTTTGTAGTGGGCCCGAAGAAAGCGACTTCCAGTTACGGCGCACTAAGGAAGCTCGTCGTAGATGGAGTATAAATCAAGGACGGGAGTGGAATAGAGAGTGGAAGCGAAAATGGAGTGAGAATCCTCAGAATCGTGCTCGGGAGGATGCAGAAACAACAATGACGATAGCAATTATGTAAGCACCGAGCTGCTGTCCCTATGACACAAGTTATGCAATAGCATAGATGCACTGGGAGTTTTCTTTTGTGAATGAGGTTAATTCATTCATTAATATTTTCACTCAAAAATTAAAAAAATATTCACCACCTAGCCATTTGTAAGCAAAATCACAGCATGGTATGTTGCAAAACTGATTTCAAACTTAAATCTACTGGGTTCAAATTCCATATAAATCACACTTGAGAACTCTAGTCCAGCATCCTTCTTTTAAATTGCATCAGGTGTAGCAGTGAGCAGGCACTGTTAAAGGCCAACCAACAGAATCGTCTTCTGATGTGCAGAAACCCCTTTCCCTAACCCTTCATTCCTCCTTACATTCTTCTTTCCCCTCTCCCAAAAGAACTGTCTCTGATTGCCCCCCCATGAAAGGAAGAATTTCCTTCTTTTATTAATGGAAACGGAGGGCAGTTCCCTCCTTTCAGCAATGGACCATGATTGGCAAACAATGCCTGCATGTCCATTTTCTTGCACCCCTGCCCGTTTCGATCTGGATGAGCATCGTACCGGCGTGCTGTCATGTATCACTACTGCGTGATGCAGGTTGAAGACCCCTGGCTAGCAGTTGTACTGCACTGGCTAAATTTCTCATCTACAGCTGGGAGACTCGTCGCCCGTTGAGCCGGACCAAGTTCTAGGCTGTGTATAAACACGCAGACAAACCAATTTTTTTTTTTTCCATTTTCTTGCAGAACATTAACTGCAACAATATGGAATGCACTCAATTCCACACATGAGTGCTCACTGCAATGCAGATATATAGCATTTTTGTGAGATTCTGTCTCAAGTTATTTTTATAGGCTCCAATGACTGGATATATATATATGCATGGGCTGTGGGAAAGCAGGCAGGTGAACCCTACCCATAAGCAGTAAGCAAATGATTCATGTACAGTGCAATCCACTTATAACGATACCACATATAACCATGTACTGCATATAACAATCAGTTTCTAGAGTTTCTAGAGTATAAACGCTCAGTTCCTAGTCCAGATACAACGATAATTGGTTATAACAATTGAATTTTCGGGTTTTCTCATTATTGTTATAAGTGGATTGCACTGTAGTAAGTAGATATGGTATCTTTACCAAATAAAAACTGTTAAACATTCAAAAGGCTTTGGATGCCTTTAGAGAGAAGACTTAAGAGAGACGCAGGTTTGAAATATGAAATAAAATGCTAGATTCTCAGAAATCACCCAGCACCCAACTAAAGATTCTGCCAAAAGTCCTGGAGGATTTTGCAACTTTTTCAGGCTCATCTCCATCATCATCATCATCATCTCCAAGTGTCGTGTTTCCCCTGTTTGCTCTGCAGCTGAACATTTGAGAACATCAGACACAAGTTGAGAATGTTAAGGTCCCATGGGACCTTAACATTCTCAACTTGTGTCGACATTTAGTTGTTGTCTCTCTGAGTGATGCCTTTGACTTTAGTGTTACGATGGGGCATGGTGCACCATGCCCCATCACACTCAAGTCAAAGGCGTCACTCAGAGAGACAACAACTAAATGCTGCGAGAATACAGGAGACAGTATAAGTACATTATTATCATAAGGCATCTTGGTGGGTCTAAGCATGTTTGTTCCCCGTATCATCGGATAGGATTCCCCTGTCACCTGTCTCAGGTCCTCGCTGGGCGAATGAAGTTGGGATACGAGGGCTCTCATGAAGCCCTTCATGGAGCAGAGTAGCGCTTTGTTGGTCCCATCGCCGAACGTCAGGTTGGTGAGCGCCATGCCGGCGTAACGACGTAGGGTGACGCAAGCAGCGTCGCCAGTGTTCCCATGGCTGTTCTGGTCTACCTGGATCAGCTCTGCTATCGCCTGAAGTCCACCTAAAAAAATTTCAAAGGTCCACTAAAGCTGACAGTATGCCCAACTTTACTTAAAAATTCTCGAGTTTAATGTGTACTTAATTTACTCCATAGAACCAGACTGTTAGGGCCCGTTCACGCTCTTGCATTTGACATACGACCGACAGAGACAAGGCCGGTCTTTAGGTCTTTTGTGACAGCTTACGACCGGCTGCTCAGCTATACAGCCGGTAGTAAGCTGTCACAAGAGGTTTAAAAACCGGTCTTGTCTCAGGCGGTCATAATCAAGCACAAGTGTGTGAATGGGCCTTTACATTCTTAATTAACGTTAGTGACGGGTTGAACTTTTATTGAATTGACAATTCGGCGCCGAATCTTGGGATTCGGCAATGCTGAATTTTTGCTGAACTTCTCTGAAGATTCAGCAGATTCAGCAAAAATACATTGTTGCAAGATGTAAAAGTAAATATTTAATTCTCCTGGGCCGAAAATTTGTTTAGGTTTTTTATTAATGCATATTGACACAGATAATTACTAAGTAAGGTGATAGTCTACAATATAATTGTATTAATGTCATTATTGGGTGTTTACCATATTTTCTGGTGTATAAGAGGCTTTTTTTTTTTTAAACATTTTTCTCGATACGTTTTATACAACGACGCGACTTATATATATTTTTTTTTTAATTCACGGTACGGCGCCATTTTTTTTATGCTCCGTGTGCTGTTTTTTGTAGAGCAGTGTAACTATGTAGCCATAGGCGGTATTTCCCCCACCCGGAGGCACTGCCGTCGCTGCACTCTTCTACAGTTTTCAGAACTGACTCGGAAAGCGAGAAATTTTATAGTTTCCCCAAAGTGGCTCAATGTGGATAGGCAAGACAGTGAAAATAAAGCATTTACAGCGTGTTATCGACGTTGCCAAATTCAGCAATGGTTCCATATTCTTTTGCTTCAGTCCAGTAACACTGAAATTTAAGTGGGCTGGTATACACGCATTGCAGAATATTCTCTCGCGTCTTTCTTCGTTTCCATTTGACGAGCAAACCGTGTTCCTACGCGTAAAAGGAAGGATTGTGCCTAGCTGATCTTTTAGAAGTACCGAGAAGAAGTATGTCAAGGTTTATCTTTCTGCCTGCACACTGAAGCTCGCGTCTCTCCGGGGCTTGGCCTAAGCTAGGTCTAGTGGTCCAAAGCCTGGTTCACGAGTGTTTAGCTCGTTAAACTTTCGTTTGCTCAGCATGTGTTCGCTCGAATAAACCCGAACAACTTCTCATTTTGCGTGTTTTAAATCCTTTTGCTGTGAAACACTCGATTGCCTCCGACAGACAGCGTCGTGTATGGGCATCTCTCGCAAGCTGAAACGTCAAAGTTGCGCAACAAATGGTATCTGCATTCTGGCCGATTGTGCGAAACCCCGATTTCGCGATACCGATGCGTGTCAACTAAAGAACTGATCACATGAACCGTGCAATGAGGTGCGGCTTATACAAAGGTGCGACTTATATACCAATTTTCCCAATAAAAACAATATTTGAATGTGCGACCTATACAACAGTGCGACTTATAGTCCGGAAAATACGGTACTCTGAATTTTACAGTGAGTTTTTGAAGAAGTGGTGTGACAACGAGGTTGGGTAGTAGCAGACGATACGCGAGTTTCGGTATTGAGGCCTCATCAGCGCAGGTCTGCAAGCGTGAACATTGTTGAAATAAAGATGGTACAGTCAAACCTCGATGTAAAGAAGTCGGTAAAGTTTGGAATTTACTTTGTTACATTGAAATTTCTCTACATTGAAATTCAAGGCTAACGTTAAAGAAAGTTTCCACAAATGTTTCTCGGGTGCACAAAACTCACCGAAGATGCCTTTATTTCGGTTGAAAGTAGTCCGTCACCTTTTTCTAGGCCACTCTTGGCATTATTATCGGCATCACGCGACGTTCATATAGCCAGACGGCCTGCATTGAGTCTTCGTCTTGCTATGTGATCGCAAACCACCTCAAGACATTGATCGCGTCCACCACTTCACGGTCATTGGGCACAACGCAGGTGTCTTGCTCATCAGGCTCGATGTCGTCCTCATCTTACATGTTCCCACGAATATCGCTAGCTATCGCCTCCTCGGTCACCAACCTCCGTTGCAATGACAGCAGAGTCGGCATATAGAAAGCCGTCGAGGTCGACGTTGCCAGGGGCGGCTCCACCGCCTTCAAGGCTCCATCGCCCAGGACAATGAGAATCGCATGCTTTTAGTTAGGCCTCGAAACAAACTACACAGCGCGAGTGGAGCTGACAGACGAAACGACAACGGCTCTAGTGTCCTCTAGTAGCCGTTCTGTACACCGCACTCACCAGGCTTGGCCCGTTTCACCCTTTGAGCTTTATCGGGGGCCCATTTCAGCGTATGTGCTTCCCAAAATCTTTTTTGGGACCCAAAAGTTTGTGACAAATTGTCCATGAAACTTCGTTACATCGAAATTTCAGCAAACGGGACTTCGTTACATAGAGGTCAAAAATACATGGCATGCATACACTTCCGGTTTGAAAAAGTTATGTACTTTGTTACATAGAGGGTTTCGTTACATAGAAGTCTGTTACATCGAGGTTTGACTGTAACACTGTGTTCTTACTTTCTCTGTGAATCATTGTTTTGTGCACGAATATGAAGGCAACGGCTGTTGAGCCTTTACCGAAAAACAACAAAATTATTGTAAATATGCATGTTTTTTCAATTTGAGTCACATCAGCTTTGCATGAAAGTGTGTGCCCCATAATTGCAACGTCTCGTTTTTAACTTTACAATGCCGGTTTCTGATGTTAGGACACATGCGGACATCTGGGAGAGTGGAAAAAGTTAGGAATGTCAGGTGTGCAACGTCGAACATGATAGTTCCGTGTTTAGTTTAATGTGAATAGATGAAAACTGCAAAATAATGTTAAGTAAAGACCATTATTTTATTTTGGCACAAACTACTCCTAAGCCGAAAAGAGGATTGCTATACAGAAATGGCGAGGAGTGATTTAAAGTTCTTGTCAGTAAACATTGCAACTACCTCATTGCATTACAGGAACGATCAAATGAAAATCACCTCATCCAGAATGTACCGCATCATTTGTCACTTGCGCAGTGGATTGTGTCAGTTCCTAGGCGATCTTCTGTTCTTCAGGCAGAAAATATTGAAGAGAACCACACTCACAAATGCTGACAAACGAACAGTTGCTATCTTACCTACTCCACACCTCGCCATAACCGCTGGTGCAACTACACTGTACGATTGTAGCGGGGCCAAATTGTATGGCGTCTCGCGCATGCACAAACGTTTGCCAAATTTTTGCCAAATCTTTGCTGAAGCTTTCTTTAAAAGTTTGGCATGTGCCGAACTTTGCCAAATTTGAAGTTCGGCAGATTTGATTCATCACAGTTAATATATCTTCCTGACTCTTCCATTCAAGAGTGCCAATCACGTTGAACACCCATAGGGATATGTGTATTATTTTCCCGTTTCTTGTTTTTGCTTTGCCAGTACCCAAAGATTGCCATCCGACATGGTTGGTGCAACACATTAGGTCGTCTGGCCGGGGCTAGAGTAACTGTATAGGCTCTACTTGCAGAGTCAGAGTATCACATTCCTTTTCTTTTGCTGCCAACTTTGTATTGGCAGAGAAACGGCCACGTGGGCCAAGGTGGATACAACTTCATGAGGGAAAGTGACCTTGCAGGCGCCGAGTTTCGGGTGGAGCGTGTTTCTCACTTTGCGTTTGCGAAATATACATCTTACACTAAAATTGAAGGAACTGCAAGGTTCCTTGACCAATGAACATTATGTGTAGCTGCTGGGTACAGTTTAATTGCGCCGTATTATAACGTGAGCAATGTTTTAAAACATGTTTCCAAAGTCTGTGAAGCAGACAACACGGAGGACTATCGAGTTGCTCGAGTCTGCAAAGCTCGCAGAGTGATACGCGACCGGCCCATCTGCACACCTTTGACCAGACGACAATGCGCAGCTACGGCTTGCAAAGGGACGTTTTATCCGGCTACTATGTTCTACCCAGGGCATAGAGAGAAACGGGAGACAGATGATGGGACGACAAAAAACATGTGGCGTGCCGCCACACTATATCGTCTCTGTTCCGCATGCCACAGCACACTGCCTCATAGCCACACCATCCGCACCTCCAGGGTCTCCTGCAGAAGCGACGGTCACTTCCTACAGTGCGGCCTTGGATCCAACATGCCCGCTTGGAAGCCCCAATGCGATACTCTGCTCCGCACACAGGGCATATACAGTTTCTCTAGCCGGGGCCATCCTCTTTCTTTTGCTCACCCCCTTTTAGAGCATAGCTCTTAGGCACCCGTTTCCATGTTTTGCAGCATTGGCATGGGGGTCAGTGCAACCGTGCTAAATTTAGCGGGGGAATTTCAGTTTTTTCACTAGATATAGCAAACAAAATCAGTTCCCCTGCCAGGTTTAGCAGGAGAATTGACGTCACGTGACCTCAACACCAATTCAAATCCCCACTAAATTTAGCGGGGAATTAAACTGGTGTTGAGGCCACGTGACCTAAATTTTTCCACTAAATCTAGCGAAGAAACTAAATTTGTTCATATGTGATGTGACAGCAAGTCATGTGACGTTATTTTCCCCACTAAATTTGGCAAGGACTTTGAGATCACGTGGCATCCCCTTTTTAGCTAAATTTAGCGGGGAAACTGTGGGAGGAGAGGAGTGTATGGAGGAGAACGAGGGGAGGGTACGGGGGAAGATGGGAGGGTATGCAGGAGGAGCAGTTGAGGGCACGGAGGAGGAGGGGGAGGAGAGGAGGAGGAGGGGCATACTCTCCCCTCCGTACCCTCCCCTCCTCATCCCCAAGAGCTGCACTCTAATTTCGCATTACTGAGATTTGTAAACGTCTTTCATTTTTTCATTTCTGCATCTCTGAGCCGTACTTCTTGCATTCTTGCCCAGGCGGGCATGACCGCAAACTAGGCTTCAAAGGAATTGAGGCTTTAGCAACGGCTTGCTCATCTGTAGTGCTCACTGATTCAGTTCTAGGTTACCTCATTTGTGCTATAGTCTCATCTCATCTCAAGTGGAGATCAAAGTTCATAATCGTGATCCGTGTGCAATGTCAAGTCTCACTTCTTTGCACTGGCATGCTCGTGCTGGGAGCAGCAGCTGACATGGGGGAGCAACTGAGTTAGCTCGATGGACCCAGAAATTCTGTTCACCCTTGTAGGTTCACACTCTTTTATTATGCTCATTGATTGGGCCCTAATTTTAAACAACAATCTTGAAAAAAGTCTACATAAAATAAATTGCTGTGTAAAGCTTGCATACTGACTCATCCACAGGCTTTCAAAACATTATTTGTTACATAGGTAAGCGCCAAGAAAACGCAGAGACAAGAGAGTAGACAGACAAGGGCTCACCCGCAACTATGTTTATTGAAAAAAACTAATCATATATATATAGCAGTGCCAGAACAAACAGTAACGTCTAATTCCAATATAACCCTCGTAACAAAAATAAAAAAATCATTTGCTGATAAAGGCAATGACGCGTCACTTATACACTCCTCGACCTTTACTTCGATTGTGAAAGCTTTAGGCCGCACTCTAAAAACCTTATCTGGATACCTAGCCAAAAACCTGCTGTCGCTAAATGACAGGGCACATGGGCAACGACTGCCCTCAGTGGCAAGGTGTTTTGACGGGGTAGCTTGCGTGGATGCGGTATGCTTGCGTGCATAATCATTAAAGCACCAATGCCTGTCTGGCCAATATAAAAGGAGCCACCTGACAAGGGTACTTCATACACTACTTTCATAATTCACTCTGTGTATTTGGTGATGTGCCTGGTTTTGCAAGAACTTGTAGAATCACTCGGATTGTCTTTATTGGCAAATGAGCATTCTTTTTTTGTTAGGGGGGGGGGGGGGGGGGGGGGTTACGCCAGAACTGGATGCGACAGTTTGTTCCACCACGGCTACATATATGTCGTTTTTTTTCAAATAAAATTGGTCAAGAATGCGCCCTTGCCTGTTTACTTTCTTGTCCCTGTGTTTTCTGCCACTTACCTACATGTTCATAAACCAACTGACCCGAGACGAGATGAGAGGCTCAAGTCCACGACTGGAGAATTGCGAATGAACGAAGCAAAATGGTAACAATGATGATGACGATAATGACACACAGCTAGAGAAAAGAAAAGCCATAGCGTACCTAGTGGCAGGACTTAGCAGTACTCAAGTATAGCACTGACAAGCCAAGCCAATCGAGGTACAGCCTAAATAGAATTTAAAATGGCGGCTTCTTGTTGGTGTTTCCCGCTGATCGCTCGTAACGATTTTGTCCAAAACATCTAGCTTTTGGACGTCAAGCTGTCCAAAAAATCAGTTTTGAATATGCACTATTTCTAATGGGTAGGTAGGTCACGGTTCCTCCTTTAGATCCAAAATATCAAACAAGTTTGAATTATTGGTGTTTGAAAAATTGGTCAGCGACGACTGTACATACAAAGTTGGCAATTCTGACAACAAAAAAAGCACAAATTGTGAAAGCTAATTTTGAAATTATCTACATCTTATTACCATGTCTATAAGGTATTATGAATCGAAAAGTTTGCTGTGAAAGGAGCCCGAAAGATTGACACCTGCATGTGAAGAGCTCAAATTTTCATCAAAGCCATATTTTGATGGCACATCTTACCATGTAAGAATTCAATTAACTTGTGAAAAATTAGAGCAACAGCAATGACATTCTCAAGGATGAGCGAACACTAACAACCAATTCAGTAGAGTCATGCTTATAGCACCTTTTCTTGACAAGTGGAGGAAGCGCTCTGTCTAAAGATGGCAATTACCTAGTGGTTGCTGCACCCATCAGGAGATGGCACCACAAGCACAGTTTTCGGGTGCCTCAGTCATCCCATCTGTGTTCATGTCCGCCATTGAAAATTTCAATGGTGTATAGTAACAGCAAACTTACCATTTTTACATATCTTTGGTCAAGCTCATTACATGCGGACACCAACTTTTCCAGTTCATTTTGCAGCGAGCCCCTCAATTTAACTTACATATATAACTTATAAAATTTTAACCTCTGGCTCAACCGCTGTTACCCTTCAACAAATTTAAGTAATCACACAAACAGATACTCTTTGATTAAGAGTTATTGAATTTGCAAAGAACTTTTTGTAATTACTTCATTTCAAAGCCGATTGCTCACTGCAAGACATGGAAAGAGATCCATTTTAAGTTATATTGATACTACGGTGATTATGAAACAGCATAGTTGAAAACTGAACATGCCCTGTCATCAATTTAGTGTAAGGAGTTTCTTTGGGACATGATCAGTTTGTTTAGTATATATTATATTTAGGTGATGTAACTGCAACCATTCCAAAATATCATGGCATTTTAATCTCAAACAAGTGCAGTGGCCACTTTACCCAGCTGGCACATGGCATGCCTGTGCTCCTCATCAAAGGAAAGCTTCATTAGAGCAGCAATGGCAGGGCCAGGATGCTGGTCACCAGTCTCTGGAAAGAAAGATGCCTATAAAATCAGCTATGCAGGTTGCATTAGAACAGCATGCACACTTGAAAAAACTTAGCTTGCAAGCCCTAAACCAGCAGCATAGCATTGTCAAATGCAACGGAATCCACTCTCCTAAGAGACATTCATTGTAGCACTGGTTAGACTTTTCCAAAACTAAAATACCGGGCAAGTGCCCACTCAAAATCTAGAGATAGTCGCGAAAAAATGGAGGATGGGCGCTTGTCCGGTCATCAATTTTACATATAAATGTACTGTGCATATTTTGTCAGATCTTAGATATTTGGATATGGAGGCTTAATGTGGGAATGGGCGGATGCGTGGTATCCTACGGTAGTGGGCTGGTGGCATGCTCTCACGAAATCTTCAGAACAAGCATAGATGTATGTACCATTACATGAAGCACCTTCCACTTAATTTAGTTTTATCCAATTCCAGTCAATTTTTTGACTCTGTACCTACTGTTGCAATTTCTTTTGCATTTAATGACAACTGACGTTCATCTAGAGCAGGAGTTGGCAACCTCTGAAAGTGGTGGAACAGCCTGGCTTCAGTTGGATGTTATAAAAATAGCTGAAATATATTCAGACACCCTGTAAGAAGAGTAACCAACAGGTGGCCCGACGGCCAGCCTTCTATCAAGGTCTAAGAGCTGATCATTGGTCGCCAAAACTTGTTTTGAAGAAAATCGAAGCACAAAAAAATAGATTCTTTCTAAATGTTCTTTGATATGGTATGTCATAATGGTTGTCTTTTATTCATGAAAACATATCTCTACAGCTAAATGTCACATGTAACACTGTAAGCAAGCCAATTTAACATTTCACAATACAGCTTGTAGTGTCCTCTGCAGTTCATAGTGAGGTGAAACAGAGTATGGCAGAAACTGTGGTTCGTTTGTTCAAAATCGTTTTGTTTCCGATGTCATGCTCCAAAAGTGCTCTAGCACAAATGTCAATTCATGTGCCCAGCGTGCAACACTAAATAACACATCTGCTCCCCCAAATTATCAGCTTTAAAATGAAGTTTAAAATACTGTTTCCAGAAACACAAGCCTCCTCTCTCTCTCTATGTCTCATTCTGCATGGGTGCACAACAGAACTTGTGCATAACATCACATTTCATATATTATTTTTATGTTATATGCCTATTATGACATAAATATAATTGTAGTATAATTGTAATAATTGTATAATTATCAAAGTTATATATTAGTTATACTGTGATGTGCAAAAATACAATCTGGACAATGAACAAAACCTGTCAGATTTGCTGATCTCTGAACACATAATGGCACAATTCTATGATCAGTCTAAATATCAACAACAAGTATCCACCCAAAAGGAGCCCCCAATTCAACCCAAGAGCCCGCCGTTCTGCTCTCAGACTGTCACAGCAGGCAACACGCTGCATTCTTACCTGCATAATATGCATGCCATTCACCGTGCCTCACGGTGTTTTAACTCCAACCCACGCCCGTAGCTTCATTCGACAGCCAGTGCTACAACACTCGCAGCGGACAGGCGTAGACAAAATGGCCTCGGGCTCACCGTTCTGGTTGGACTCGGCGATGCAGGCCTCGATGTCCCGCAGGTAGTCGCAGAAGTCGCGTATCTGCTCGAGCAGCCGCAGCACCCTTGCCTCCCGGCGGCTGTGCTTGTCGTCCGGGTGTGCGTGAACCACGTTGTGCAGGGCCTGGCTGGCACGCAGCCGCAGCTCCCGCATTACCCGGCGCTGCTCCTCTGCACTCTCCTCTGTCGGGGAGGAGGCCTCCTTCTCAGTGGCCCCATGCAGCAGCTGGATCAGCAGCGGGAGGCAGCCTGTCCCGGGGGACGCGAGAGATTGCATACAGGTGCTCCGGCATCTCGCTCAGTCACAACGGCAATGCGCTGTAGTATGGCCGGCGGCCACGTGAGCCGGCCCAGACTATAGACCATTCTATTTAGAGCTCTCAGGTCAGGGCGGCACCATTTTGTTTGACTACAACGCCCTCTCCACACATCCGAGAACCTCAGCAGGTTCGGCGGGGTAAAACGAGAGAGAGGGCATGCGCCCGACTCTGCTGGCAGACAACAAACCGGGAGGTTGCCGTTCTCCATTTCATTTCATTTATTGTTCTCTCAGGGCCCGAAGGCATTACAGAGAGGAGTGGGGTTTTTTTTTTAAACGGAAACATATGAGTATAACGATACATAAGGCAAGACATAAAACAAAAGTTATTGAACATCAAAAAACTTAGTAATGGCAATTTTAAAAACAGTAGCATCAGTTATCGAGACTATGGGTGCAGGAAGGCGATTCCAATCTATTGAGGTCTGAGGGAGGAAGGAGGCATTGAAAGATGAGGTGTTACACTGGGGGACGCCCACTTTTAGATGGTGATTAGTTCGTAGCGAAATGTAAGATGGTTCTAAAAATAATGTTTGACGAAGTGTTGGATTAGAGTGAAAAATCTTCTGAAAAAGACAAAGCCGGGATATTTTCCTGCGAAGAGAGAGGTTAGGCAAGGAAAGGGATGCTTTCATAGATGTGACACTGGATGTGCGATGATAGTTTGAGAGGATGAAACGAGCGGAATGATTTTGTATGGATTCAACAGCGGATGAAAGGGTGATACCGGAGTCCCGCCGGTACAACCCATCTTTGGGTTGTACCGAACATCGAACTTTCGCTCGTGGCTGCCGTTATGAAGTGGTTCGCGTTCTTAGAATATGTATGGCTGCTCCAAAATCAGCCTTTAGTGCTCTGTTGTTTTACTTCAGTAAATGATCAACTAGCGTACCTTTTTTCCGTTACTTTAATAGCAGTGGAGTCAGCCGGCAACTCAATCACTGCGTCTATTGCGCCAGGGGAGCACGTTTTTATTTATTATTCCAGACTTCCACTCATTGTCGCTAAAGGCCTACACCAGTACGAACTTCGTATAGTAAAATAGCTACAGGAACCGGATTTACTTTTCACCAGACCGCCCAGCCACTCTGACACAGTTTTTCCATTTTTTTTTATTTGCATTCAGGTAACATTGCAGTTAGACCCGGTTCATTTTTTTTATCGAGCATAGCATTCCACAATCACTTGCATATCAAAATCCGCGCATCTGCGCTTAAAATTTTCAAAATGACACGATTTTAAACCGAGTTTGAACGCCAGCCGGATGTTATGTACAGCCCACTTGGAGGAGCAGGCGATGCACGGGGTGAGAAGGGAAAGGCAGTTATTTCCTTTTGCTCTTCCTAGAGGAACGGTCTATACCCATGGGGCAGTGAAGTTTGGTTGGACATTTAGCACCATCATATACCGAATGCTCGCAACCCCATCTTGAGCTCGAACGTCCAAATGTCGTGACAAACTTGGACGCGGCACTTATGTCCAATCACTTTGCAGCAAAATCTTCCCGAAGTTGCCTTTTCTTACCACCAGCCGCACCGACTATCGGCTGACTGAGGCGCCTCCTCTTCACTGTCCTGAGACTATAGGGCAGTTTCACGAAATGCCTTTTCCTTTTCGATAGGCTGCAATCCTCCATATCAATAAACAACGTCCACCACTTTCACAATTTGTTTATATGCAGATGCTTAGTAATGGTGTCATTCTTGGGGTTGGTGAAACGCTGAAGTGTGGCGAGTGGCTCCTTTGACAAGAGAACTCAGTATTTTGGTTGCATAAATCCAAGTTCATTCTGAAGTAAAGCAAGTGTTGCCAAAGACTACTCAAGCAGCACACACTGTAGACATTTTTTTTTTTTAACCTTATAGTGAGGTTCCATGAGGAGTTTACTCCAGAATGAAAAAATTAAAACAAGCAGAAAGATGCTGGTAAACCTTCGGGACCTTGGCTCCATAACCACCAACAGGAGTTTAAAGGATCCTGCTCTTGAGACGCCCCGCAACAGCTTTTTATAAGCACCGACTGCAAGCAACTGCTCCGAAGTCAGTGTCGGGTTTGCCAGTGCGAGTGAATACTTTTTCTTCCTCCCAGTGATGCGAGTAGTCCAATGGTTTCAGGGACATTTGAGGTATAACCCCTTATTAAGGCGAAAGACTTATATGTCTCATCGTTCAGTCAACCTTCAAAAAACATGTCGGCGGCACGAAATGTACCAAAACGAAAGGTACGAATGAAACGGCGCCAAAAGTGTGTCAACAGAGAGTGCGTTGTCTTCGGAGGTTCACTATCACCGGGACCACAGCCGACACCACGATCTAACTGGGATAAGGAAACGGCGCCAAAGGATCATCGTCAGAGAGCGCGCTGTCTTCGGAGGTTCACTATCATGTTCATGTGACCACTCAGGCAAATTAGACGCAATTTAAAAGGAATCAATGTGAATTAAGTAGATTATGTGTCTGTCTTTAATGCATCGGCACTTGGGCTTTCGCCCTCAAGTCGTCCTAGGGATAACATAAGAGACCCCGTGAATTTTTCTTTAACTTGAAGTCGTACATCCAAATGGCCGCTAAGGCCTAAATTACTGCATTTAGAAGGGACAAGATTGCTACTAAAACTTATTGAAACACTTCCCCCTTAAAATAGACAATGTGTAGGTATACAATTTATTTTTTAAATACCTCCAATTTTTATTAGAAATATTTTCAATGTAAATGAGCTCGAACGACAGTGGTCAATGTATTGGAATCACATGCAGTTTCTCTTATGGCTGTAGGAGTCTGTGTTTGCTTGTGACACGAGGGTTCAGTTATTAGAAGGGCATCGACGAAGTGGCTCGATCCCATAAAGACTGCCTCAACCACCAAAATTTTTTTCTTGCCCGTGTTGCTCCCTTCACTGATCACACCAGTAATTATTTAACAAAGGTGTAGTTAGACAACTTCCAGTCATTGGAAAACTGGAAGTTCTTTAGATTTTTTTATGAAGCTGCTGGATTTGAAAGAAACCATCTGAATATTTTCAACATTTTAGAATTACACGAAACTGGGGTGATAACAGAAAAACAAGCAGGAACTTGCACCAGCTCACATGTGCCCTCATGTTTGGTTCATGAATATTTCCCCAACATTTTATTGATTATAGTTTTGTACATACACATTACACTATAAAGTGCTAGAGCAATTGATTATTTGCAAGGCAGTTTCCAATTAAAAATCAATTCTGCCCTATTGGCAGCAAGGGAAACTGAATTCCATTGAATCTATGAATCTAGAAAACGCTTGAAAAAAATGATCAAATTAAACATATCCAGATTTCACAAGATGGTAAAAAAAACATAATGGCGTCATCGTCGTTACCTAGTAGGAGCCCCAAACAGCCTTAGCCCGGGGCACAAAAATGCCTTAACCAGCACTACCTAGAGATGCCAAATTATACTGCTTGATGTCAAACAAAGTGTTAGGAATTCAGGGATTGTCTCCCCAGTATTTTTAGTGGTTGCAAAGTCTCACTTTGCATCTGGCTCCCGCCCTCTTTTGAACCGGGTTTGGGTTCATAGCCGTAGTGCTGTGCAAATATTCAAATTTTCTAATAGTAGTTTCGAGTAATATCCTATTCCATATTCACTTCGAGGTGAACTGTGATACTCGTATTTTTAAAAATGTTGATCACGACAGGTTAGCCCTGTTGAGTGCGCTTCTAGCACTGGTGCACTGCAGAAAAGCAGCACTCGCAAAACTCACTTCCGAGGATGTTGCTTCTCCCCAGTGCACCGGTGCTCGGTAAGAAGCGCACTCCACGGTGCTAAAACGCTTTGATCAGTACCTTAAAAGATACAAATATTGCAGCCGCGTGCTTAGGAGGGAAGTGCACTGTCAAAGCGGCACGGTACACGAGCGCGTCTGGCGTATTTAAAAAGAAACAAACTTTGTGAATGTTGATCTCTACATTGCTGTAAAATTTTCAAAATTAAAGTGCCTATTATATGTATGAGTATATATCAGGCAGAGGTATTCTGACAACCTCCGTTAATCATTTGTGACTGGAGAAAAGGTATTTGTATATAGCAAGAATATTTATAAATTCCTTCGATTGAGTATAGCTGTACATCTCATAGGTTTAATTTTACGTCAAATGCATCATTTACTTGCCAATCCAGTGTAGGTATTGATCTTTCTGAGGTCCACAGACGATAAACATAGTTCGATTAAAATGAATTTAGCTTATAAATGAATAAATGAAAGCTTAAGAACAACCTTCACAAGTTCAGCTGGGTTTTCGTTTAAGAATTGTGCAGTAGTGAAAGACTCACGAGAAACTGTCTGATATTCAAAAAGAAAATAATGTTAAACACGCATAATGTGTATAACGAGTCTTGGTTGGCTATGAAACGATCGGGATGTTAAATAAACTGTTGTTAATGCAAACACTGCATCCTCGATGTTTCTTGACCGGTGCAGATGTACAACAAGGGTTGCGGCACACCAAGAAAAAAATTATCATATTGCAGCCTGCGTCGCGGTTGTACGAGATACTCACTTTCCGACAGCATATGTCATGCAATCGACCACAATTTCTATAACACAAGATTCAGGTCCTCCGTCTACACAAATAATGTAAAATTAATTATGAAAAGCAATGGTGCCGCATTCTGTAATGTTTAGCACAACCAAGCAAGCATTGCGTGCAGCCTCACAGCCAAGGTATACTTTTGAGAAGTCTTCTTGCATTCCCCATCACTTAAAAGGCCATAAAGACGATAGTCGACTGCACGAGATTTGTATTACGGAAATGTGTGTTGAACTGCTACGCCGACTGCAAGCAAGGTGATATTCTATTTTACAACCAATTTCGATCGCCATCAAGTTTATGTCTCTGATGTTTTAAAATTAAAACATCAAAATAATGAAAATTTTGTTTCTTTTAACAGGGGACGTCAAAATAACTTTTTTAAATACTTTTTCGTCTTGAAGAAGTGGCGTCACAGACGTCAAAATAATAGTACTTCAAATTATTTTGAAAATGGATGTCGAAATAGTCACTGCCTTTCTGGCACACATCTACAGACAACAAAAACAGGGAGAAAGCTAATGCAGGGGAAAATAAAAATGACTGCCTTGGTGTGCTATTTATGTTTAGGCACTTCAAAATGGCCTGTCTTCTCGAAGGGCATGAGATCCATGGATATAGAGAGTGCACCAGGTGGCACCATTGCATACTACCATGTGTTTGTTGATAGCTAAGAAATGAAGAAGCTACCCACTGCCTATGGTTGCCAATTTGTGTGCCACTGTTGATAATGCAGGACAGGGTTTTCTGTTGCTTCTTGTTTATAATGGACCTTTTTCCAGTAAGCTGCTGCACATGTGCAAAACCCCCTCCCCTAGCCTTGCTTCCCACTGTCACCATTTTTACAGGGCAAAGTTCCGGTCGTCCAACATATTCAGCAACTATATTTGTGCATAATTCGTCTTCTTTGGTGATTCTTGTTTGAGTATACGCTAGCATGGAATATAAAAGGCAACAAAAAATAATACAACGGCACAATGCCAATGTATTCTGACGGGCGGAGGCAAGCTGGGCCGCTCTTCATTTGTAGTTCGAAGACAACTCTGTAGACGGTGCTCGTTACTAAAAAAAGGTCCATTAAACTCGGAGAAAAATGCAGTAACTTCAGTTTCTTTTCTATTTATGTATGAGTGCCTTTGCTTGCGTTAACAAGCAAAGGTTTAAAGTGCTCTGCTTTGTTGAATTTTCCACTTGTTCTCAACTTCTTTTGAACCAGTTACATCACTTGTTAGGACTTGTTCTCTTCTTTTAAGTGATTTGCTTACTGGTAGAACTAACAAGCAGACAATCAATGTGATCTCCACTAGCAAATGCTAGCGAAAAGGCACATTGCTTTCTCCCATCCAATTTCATTGCATTACATTACTTGACATCCCCTCTACTTTGCTGCATGAAATTCAAGTACAATTGCTGAAGGCACGTTTTATTTCTGGGGTAATAGACCTCTTCCAGAATTGAAGTGATACTAGCGGTGTGCCATGCAAAACATCTTGGGTACTGGTTGGCCGCTTAGTTTTGGTTTCAATTGGCAAACCTCAATTCATGACATCATATCAAGACCAAAGACAGTGCTTGCATTTTCAAATATGCGACTTTCTTTAAATTTATGATACTGTCATGTCACCTACCGATAAGTATAGAATGCTGGTGCACGTGTTGGAGTTAGTGTGCAGGTAAACACAGGACGATGGCAGCACATGGAAGGAGAAGTATACCGGGCCAGCCATCCTGTTTCATTGGCTTTTCAAATCATTTGCAAGCTGGGAGGGTCATGCTGCACTCCGGAGTAGCCAGGACGCCAGCAAGGTATGGGATGCGGCAGGCCGTACTCCTACTCCTTACTAAACCTAGGCAGGCCCCTATGGCCTCTGGATGTCCGTGTTTCCACGGTGGCTCTCACGAAGATGAGTGATGCAATGTAAGCTAGCGCCGACTTCATTTTCATGCAGTGTTGATATGCGATGTTTTGTCAACGAGGTGATCAAAATTGAAACCATGCGCCACTCCTCTCTATGGCCAACCAGATCCCACGATTCAATGTGCGCAGTGTTGCATGCAGGGATTGTCGGAAGTAGTCTACTACCACACCCCCTTCCCCGGGGTGCACCCTGGCTACTACATCGTGTCAATACTCACCAGACTGCCTCATGGCTATGCAGCTTTCTTGGGAGCCTGACATGGTGAGCAGCGTTCTGCTAAGGTCGTCTTTATCGTGGGTTCCCAACATGGACAGTAACGAGTACACCATCTCCACCTGGCAGCATGAAAGCATGGAAAAAACAGTGATCAGCAAGGAGCACGCAATAGCTCATTTTGTGACATACTAAATATAAAGTGTAAAAGACAGACGAAGACCTGAAGAAGACAGGACAGCAAAAAACAAGTTAGTCATTAGTCTAACTTGTTTTAACTGCCCTGAGCTAACAAGTCAGCCAGAACATGGCAAAATTGTTACCCACTGTAGATGATAAATTTAGCCAGTGCAGTACAACCACTAGCCTGGGGTATTTAGCATGTACCATGCAATAGTGATTCATGACCGCATGCCAGTACGATGCTCATCCAGATCGAAACGGGCAGGGTTGGGGTTGAACCCAGGATCCGTGGGTTCTGCAGCACAAGCTTTCGCTCCATGGGCTTCGAGCTGGCGCGTACTAGCCCACTCGGCCACAGATCCCCCACAGGACAGCGCTCCTAGGCTACCGCTATGTTGCTAATGATGATGCAGCTGGTGTGACTCTCGTACCCCCTATCACCTAGATATTTTCTGCCACTCTCCTGGACTGTAGAAACCTGCCCAGCATGATTCTCTGCCTATGTTTTGCGGTTTTGCATTCCAAGTTTTCTAGACTCTCTTGGAAGTTACCACTTTATTTTCCCTGTGCATGCTATATACCCTTTTTGTGTTATCTTCCCCTTTGATAAATAAAGTTGGTAAGTGCATACCATGTAAGCGTTTCTGCTCAACATTCACGGGAAACGAAAAAAGGGAAGAACGTTGAATGGCCCTCGAAGCGATTTCGCGAACAATAACAACTGTTCTCTTTAACACCAGAGATAATCTGTGTGAAGTACTTCTCAGTCATTGCCAAAATTAGCTGTTCTGGTTGGGGTGGAAAGCAAACCAGTCACGTCCGTTCCTTTGCCTTGGTGCTCGTGTTGTGAGAAAAGGAAGCTCTTCCCAAAACAAGCCCTAAAATGAAGTCCTCTTGGATTCCATCCTATCATCAAATCTGACTTTCGTTGACACTGTTGTGCTGTGTTATTTGGGATCTTTCTCAAAGAAACCCTTTTTGGATAAAGCTGCACCGTGTGGCACATACAATATATTGCTCGAATGTTGACACTTACTAAGTTTCATGTCCGAGTTCTGCCGTCTAGTTTAAAAATCAGTGCATGTAAAATATGCATGAATTTAGGCTGTATTCTATTGTGAATTATTTCTGACAGCTAAGCGCTTTCTAGAATGACACGGCCAAAGGGGCGGCGACGTTAAAGCTTATCGTCAAATAAAACAAACAATACAGTCGCATTTGCTCTGTCGGGCACATACCCCAATAATAGATTAGAGTTTGTTTTTGTTTCAAATGTGGCACAACACTTTCTCAATGTCCTCGAGAAAATATAGACACCACGGAAAGCAAAAAACAGCGGGAAAAGGCGAGAATTTTGAAACTGGCATTGCCTGAAATTGAACTAATGCAAGCTGCGCCCATCGAAATCAACAGTCCGACATCAGCAGTCCAAAGCTCCCTGAACATAGCCTCAAGCCCATGAGTGGGCTCTAAAAAGGTTCCCTTGTTCCTGAGGTCGAGTGTTTTTTAAAAAAGGTGTAAACTTACAACTGGCGCCTGATATTGTTTTTTCAAATATACAACAACATTATTAGAATTGATAAATCCAAATATGTAAAGCCGAAAAGCTACCGGCTAGATCGCCTGCACCACCAGAAAGTTTTAACCACCAGTGATGCCCGTATAAATATTTTTAAACAGTCATTTTTTGTTCAGGCGGTAGTGCTGTGGAATAAACTTCCTGCTAGTGTCGTTGCACTGGAATCCCTTCCTGAATTCGAGAATGCCATAAGCGTATTGTTTGGCCTGTAAGTGTGACCCTTCTTGTGGGTGTATCTGTGAGTGTATATTTTTGGGGTGAGGTTCCCAAAGGTTGATTTTGAAAGCGGTGCTTGAGGTGTATATTTTTGTGGTGCGGATCCTAGAGATTGCTCTGAATGTTGATATTTGAAAGCAGTGTTGTATTTGATTTCCGTGTCTGTATTACCCCCTCCTGCCTTGGCCCTTGAAGGGGCTGGCAGTATTGTGAAAAAAAAAAATAATAATAAAAGCATATAAGGAAGCAAAGAAATAAATAAGAGAAATGATGCTGAAGACAAAAAGGATGAAAATAAAAGAAAGAAACGGATGGAAAAGGATAAATTAAAGTTAATGCAATCCTCAGCATCACTTCTCCCACTCCTTTCTTCTCTTCCTTACATTTTTTTATTAAGGTGCCTGTTGCAAGTATACAGCTGTCTCTGTCGTCTTCATGTCCTTGTCTGTCTTTTTCACACTTAGGTAGTATGTTGGACCAACTAGAGCTTTTTAATATTTCAGTTTATTGTGAAACCAACCAAAGGCTCACATCATCCGCAGCAACTCATTCATATTCTGTTCATGGGGATTTCAATTGAGACTCAGCATGGGATGTGACAATTAATAATGTTGCTAGTTTCATCATAGTATGCGGTCTAGACATGACTGTCTTCGTTATCAAAACTCCACTCCTTTTAGAAGCTTCTTAATTCTCTGACTTATTATAGCAGGGGTTCTTAAACCTTTCTACTTCGAGGAACACCTACCCATGTTGGATGCCAGCCCAAAAAACCCCATCTAGTCTCGGCACTGATCCAGTAAAGCTATGCACAAGCCTGCAGACCTTGTAAACAATAATCCAAATACTAAAAAGTGTTTGGCTCTGCGGGTCACTCGACCATGTCCAACACCCGATTCAATCAAGCCGCACTACAGTTGCTCCCAAGGAAGTCACACAACACAGCGAATGCAACGAGAACAGTTGACCAACTCGCAGTCCCGTCGGCCAAGTTCCGTTCCCTCGTCCGTCCTCCAACGACCGCTATGGCTCTCCTAGCACTAGACGCTTAAGCCGTAAGACGACTTCTTTTAGCCTTATGACTGACGACCTCCCGACCCCCAATAGCTCTCCCCTTAAGTAGTCCCTGAACAGGGGTAGATTTAGAGGGGGGGTCCGGATGTCCTGACCCCACTCTTGAATTCTGCATGTGTAAAATTTAGGGCGTGAAACGAGAGAGAGGGGGAGTGGGTTCCTAAACAAATGGTACACTGACCAACACCTGACCCCCCCCCCCCTCAGGAAATTCCTGCATCCGCCCCTGTCCCTGAACCCTTCATCTCCCACCACCTTTCTGCCCTACCAAGTATGTTTATGTCCATATAAGGTCATCGGTTAACCTCGAAGCGCATGGTGGCAGAGTCTGGCGAGAAATAGCAGCAGCGATACTGTAACGCAAACCTCTTTGCAACAACACATTTATGCCGGTAGACAGGCCTCGGCGCTGGAGACATGACTGAGTCCAAAAGGTCTTAAAATAGTGTGGGAATCTCGGCCTTGGCGCTGGAGGCATGAGGGTTAATGTGTCTTCAGACCAGCAAAAATGTGGGCCTCAGTGCCAGAGCCACGGCCCATATTCCTGGAAAGTTAAAGGTTCTCCACAGCTTATGGCTATGCATCAATGAGAGGCTGAGGCCCGCTCAAATATTCCTTAATCTGGAAAAAAAACAATTTGCATGGGGGAGGCACGGTTGAGGAAATTTGGGAGCTCAGGGAACCCAACAGGATGCCCTAAAGAACTCCTCGATTCCTAGGAAGTGCATTATGAAAACTTGTGCTTTAGAGGTTGCTTTCTAGCTGAAAAAGAGACCCCGTCTGCAATTGTGGAATGACAGTTGAGTGGCACTCTAATAGATCCGGGTGTAAGAGGTGCAGGCCCTGTTTGACCAGGGTTTATGACAGGCAATAATGGCAAATTTTTTTCACCTTTGAACTGAGGCGATGGGAGTGCGACCTCCGGCCCCCATAGTAGCTAGCACTCATTCCAACACCAAGGCTGGCACCACCTCCAAACTCGTCTTCAAAGAAGTGGGAGGGATCTGTAACTCCACCGACACCCATGGTAGTTGGAAGGCTTCTCCAGAGGACTGTGAAGGAGAGATGAAAACATCACACCATGGCTTCATGAAAACTCCCTAGTCATGCAACCCTATTCCAGAGCTTACATTAGAATGCTCAGCCTACTCTTACAGAGTTTGTTCTATTCCCAGGATAGCACACTCTTTTCTGCATTTTCACAGGATACAGAGAGATAGACCCCCAGTTAAAAATTGGCATATTAACATAAACTGTAAAAGAAACTATAAAGCTACAAAGAAAGGCTAAAAAGGCATGCCAAAAATTATGGCCAGTCATGGATGGCATGCCTAAAAAAGTGGCCAGTCATGGATAGCCACCCAGAACTGCTCTCTTCTGGCACCAACAGTTTTTTTTAAAGTCGTAAACAGTGATTCTGTGTGACAAGATGATCTAGTTGTCTTAACATCAACTGGGTTGCTTATTTTTTAGTGTACACAACGAGTAGATTAACTATTTCTTCGGCTTTTGATGTACAAAACAAAAAGACAAACAGGTTTACAAGAAGCAGGTTTAGCAACATTCCTGAGACAACATTTCTCGCACCATTCTCACCTCCTCACTGTAAAGACACTTCCTTTAAAAAGTGAACATGATAACCAGTGTTGGGTAAAGTACAGCTAAAAAGTACTTGAAGTAAAAGCATAGAGTGAATGAGAGGTCCCATTCACTCTGTACTATACTTCAAGCGTAGTGTTAAAGGGGCACTGAAGTCATTTTTAAAAAAGGTCGTTTTGATATTATACTGTTTTAAAGGGGCACTGACACATCAAAATCATATTTTATTTTACTATCCGAAACGATTGGAAACGATGCCTGGACATTACCCTCAAAATTTGAAACTTGGGAATTCAGTATTTCTGAATTAAAAAAAACAATTTCCAAATGTCAAATTTGAAGTTCCCGCGCGATCCGCGCCAGTGCAGTGAGTCAAATTTTGCGGTCTCCTGCGACTTGACTTTCTTTCGGACCTCCGCTCCACGCTGTGAAGCTAAGCGCCGTTGCTACCGCGGCCCGAAGCGAGGAGGAGGCGAGCAGGCGGGATAGAAGGGTGCCGGCGCGGGAAAAAAACCGGTTTCGTCCCCGACTCGCCGATAATCCTCTGCTCGAGCGCCGCCAAGTTTTCCGAGGGAGCATACAAATCCAGGAAGCGACATCACACCGAAATCTTATTTTCGGTATTTCAAAAAGAAAGGCCTATAGTGCATTCGCAATTGCGTTAAAAAACATGTTTTACGATTGCCGTTATTAAATGTTATAGAAAGGTCGCCTACAAAGCTTCTAAATTTCCTGATTTTTGACGTCACCGATCAAAAGAAGCAAGGAGGTGAGCGCGGGAAATCTAAACGCCACAAATAAAAAGGCGCGCGCGCGGGGAAATTTTTTTTCGCGATGCGGTTTTTTTTGCGTGTTTATGACTACAACTTGCATCGTTTTAGACAATAAAAAAGAATACGACCTTTGGGGTGTCAGTGCTCCTTTAATGCCGAAAATATCATATTATAAATTACAACACTGCCTATTTATCTCAGGGCAAGAGAAAAACATGCACTCTTTTTTCTCGCGGACTACAATGTGTGGACCAATCAAAGCCCTACAATACACACAGATTCTGAATGATTTTATTATAACTCGTTTCAAAGAGAGTCTGATAGGTACACATTTGGATAAGACTCCTCTATTTCACCGCGGGCAAAGCCATCGCTCTCAACTCGCCGTCAAGCGCATTTCGTCGACCACTTCACTCGGCTTCACTCGGAAGAAAATTCTTCCCAAAAAGGGCGTGTCGCGATCTTCGAACACACTTTTAACGAGGAAATAAGCTATGCACGATTGTGATTTCGGGTTTGTTGGGATGCTTGGAGCGTCTAGATTGAGTTGTCACCACAAAAAGACAATCTCAGAATCGACTACAGTGCCCCTTTAAGTACACTGGGTGCAATGTACCTAAGTTGCGGTGGCCAGTTCATCGGCCAGACAGGAAGGTGTCCGAATGTTCATATCAGTTAAAGTAAAGTACTACTATAAATACAATGTACTTTTGCAGCAAAGCACAAGTACCTTTTGACACAATCATTCATCATGCCTTTTCATTCCCCTATAGTGATATCTTGTTTGTTTCTGAACTGGTATGCATTGCCCCAGGGGTAATCAGGGGTGCATCAGTTATCTTCGGAAATGGTGGCGAATACCAAATAAAGTCAAGTGGCCACAAAGTAGTTATTCTCGGAAATGGCACCAAATTCAGAAGTTCCTCTGACTACTGAATTTGGCACCGCTGGCACCCAAGGCGGTTAAATGTATTACAAGCAGACTTGTACACGTTACTGAAAAAAAGTAACCGATTACAATTACAATTACTACAGTCAAAAAAGTAACCGATTACCGTTACTGATTACTGCCTCCCAGAAGTAATTGAACAATTACTGCAAAGTAATTGATTACTTTTCACGTTACTTTCACGTTACTTTTTATTGCGATGACAGAAATACACAAATACACATTAAAATATTGCGCACACAATTTTGTTTGGTTATTGTTTCCTTTTTTGTTTTCAGACCCGGACCTTGTCGTGTAGCTGACGCGTCGACCTAAGGAACAAAGCCCACTAAAAAGTCAATAGCGAGTTCCCGCTTCCCGTCGACTTTATCAGCAATCTGCAACGAGATCCGGAACTCCCCAGCCAAGGCTGGTGGCGCGCTTGTAGAAGAGCGTGGCGTAAAAGAAAAAAGGATTTGCCGACTAATCCTAGTTTTATTTTTTTTAGATGTTAAAAAAATGTCAATCATTTTTGCTCCATGGCTGAGTGACTATGCTGATTTTTGTGAGAAAAAAAAATTGTGGGATGAAAAATGTAATTGGTAATTGCGTAATTGATTTTGTAATTGATTACAGAAAAAAAGTAATTGAATTACTCCGAGCGTTACAGCTTGACAAATGTAATTGAAGCGTTACAAAATTACACTCAACTGTAATTGATTACAAGTAATCAATTACTTGTAACGCGTTACGTACAAGTCTGATTACAAGAGAGCATGATGTTGACCCCATTGCTTCTGCAAGCAATCCTCTAGTGGAGGAGTGTCCTCTCCTAATATTTTTATCCTTTTCACTTGCACTGACTTAGCAAGTTAGAAATGCTGTAAGGAAGCTGCCCCCCCCCCCCCCCCCCCCCACACACACACACACACACTTCAGTACAAACAAAGTAATGAGTCGTCTGCTCATGCTTCTGATGAGAGTCGAATATCCTCTCAGTATTTCTTCAGAGTTGACAAAGCATCATTTTGTTTTACAAATTTAACAATACCAAATTTGGGGAATTGACTCTGAAGTTGGGAGTTGTACTTTCCAGTGATGTGATTGGCCTAAGCCATTTTGAAGCACCCTTCAGAGCAGCCTGAACAGTGTTGTAGAGCTGCAAATGTGGCCTTTGGAGCAACCAAAACAGTGTTTTGGAGTAGCAAAAATGGCTTTTGGAGCAGCCAGAACAGTGTTTCGAAGCAACAAAAGTGGCTTTTAGAGCAGGTATTCTTAGAAAAATTAAAATATTTGTTTTAAGTGCTGCACAAACACAGGGCACTTTGTGCTGTGTTGTGTTCTGATGTTACGTGTTGTGACAAAACTCGCTGCTTCTGTTTTTACAGCTGATAGATCCCGCAAGTGTACAGTGCTGTAGGCATTGCCGGGCGATTCCGAAAAACCGCTTGCCACCATTTTACTGGTTCCCGACGTGCCAGATTTTCGTCAAAAGTAAGCAAACATAATACAATACAAGCGCCCCAACATTCTAAAAAAAAAAAAAAAAAAAGAGTATCACTTTACACTTTTTGTCTTATATAATGCACCCCAAAACTTCAGTTCGATGTACAGCGCACTATAGTCGAACAGACAGCCTCAAACTTTACGAGGGGCTTGATAACGGTGCGATATAACTTATTAAATGGCTAAAACATGTATCAAGGACCACTGAAAGAAAACACTGAGATTTTGCACTAGGTCCTAAAAAACTCCGATTATCTTTTTTTATGTTTTTAGTTTGTAACACATACATTAGCTATTTTAATGAGTTGTACCACACGGCTATCATGCCTCTCATGATAGTTAATACCGTCAGATCGACGTCAATGCACTGTACGTTGGACTGAAGTTTTGGGGTGTATTATAGGGGACAAAGGGTGTAATAATATACCTTTTTTTCCGAGAGTGTGTTCTCATGCACGTGAGGGCAACTTCAGCAGGCTTGCAGTTGTGCGTGCTTCATCGTGCGAGCGGAGACAGCGGCTGTTCGATCGAAACCGAAACCATGCCACCCCGCTCCGTCGCCAACTGATTCCCAAAATTGTATGCAAAATGTAACTGTCAAGCATATGACAAAAAACAGTCCAGCGGTGCGTACTTACCGGGCCGGCAAACAAGTTAGTACAAGCTAAACACACACAAAAAAAGAACCTGAGCGCATCGACGCAAGACATCGCGAGCCACGGTCAAAATGTTCTTGGAGCGCTTTGTACAACGACTGAACTCGGGACAAACAAGCGTGCTGTGCGGGTTCAGTGTGCCTTCTTTGCTTTAGTTCACTTCTCTCCACCAACTTTCTTTCGCGGCAGATTTTTTACGTACAGGGGTACCTCTCGAAGGAAAGCCCACCGAGAGAAACCTAGGTAATCAATACTTCGACACAACAGTCTTTGAGTTAAAGAGGGATATTTTTAGTAACGTATGATTAAAACAAGAAAAGGAATGTTGATGAACATGCGGCGGTACTTAGTTTCATTTTAGAAAGCGCCATAACTGCAGCGACGTGGGGACGGCAAGACCCGACGTCGCACGACCACAGTGACTGGAAGGCAGGGACCAAATATAGTTTTCCTATGGACATTGCTTTCAGGAGTGAGTGCTTCAGCTCACAAAGTAACTCCTCCCACAGCCCGTGCAAAAACGTGGTTTCGTTTCGCAGCATGACGGCATGGCTAGTACCCGGCATGCTAGCGTCGGAGCGTCCGCACACACCCGTGTCTATCGTTAAAAATACTTTTAAAAAAGACGCGAGAAGAGACCCACGGCACGATTTGAACGCGAGACAGTGGGAAAACCATGCAAGACCGGATGGACAATTGATGGAGGGCATTTTGCGTCGGGCGGCTGCTTGCGCCACATAACCAGACTTGGAAGTAATCTGTTACAAGTAACGGAATTACTTGTAATTAATTACTTTTCTAGTAATTTTGTAATTAATTCGTTACTTTTCTAAAAATGTAATTTGTAATCTAATTTCATTACTTTTTCAGTAACGCGTTACTGAAATTACTCGTTACAATTCTTTCGCCCCGTCAAAGGGAAAAATAGAGAGGAAGAAGGGCGATGCAACGGCCTTTGCGCTTTTAGCATAAGAACACAAGACGGGGGTTTGCTCGCAAAGAGATCTAGTGCTGGCGAAGGAAAGGAATTCACGGAAACCACAACAGCCCAGCCAGAGCCTGTTTCTGGAGTTGTTCGTACGGGCAGTCAGGCTGGGAGGATTCGACTGTCTACATGAAGGCAACAAGCTTTGACTTGGAAAACGAACGGACTGCTTCGATCGCACAAAAGAGCACAAAACTAATGGCCCATAAAACCATCGAGTGGGAGTCGTGAAGAGTACGAACATGGACACTGTGACCATGGTGCAGATGTCCGCTCGCCCCCTTCCCCCCCCCCCCCTCCTTTCCACCCCACCCCCTGCGTGTTATCCCCCAAAAACCAATCAGCATTTTTTTTTTGTCACACGAGACCGTCCTTTGCTTGTCGATGTTCTGCCTACACACACCCACCCCGCAGTAAACAACAACAACAAAAAAACTGTAACGAGATCTCGACCCTATTCATATCTGACAGCGCTGTGAAAGCTAAATACTGGCTGGACCAACCAGCTTTGTGGTTTCTGTCACTTAACTTCGCACTAGCGGATGCGTAAGGCACAAACATAAGGGAAGCGACGGCAGCAGCTCATTGGAACAGAAAAAGAATGTAGCATCAACACTACTGTCAGTTCAAACAGTAACTTTAGACAGCAGGTAATAAGGTGGCCAGGGAGCACAGCCAAAATGGCTTGGGACTTCGAAGCTGAACCCATGTTCCTAGAAAGGAGAATGTTGGGGTTCTCGTCAGCGGATTGTGCCTATGGGAACTTAATCGAACATTTTAGGGAAAGGGAACACAGCCCGAGTTTTCTGAGAATAAACAGTGGCTGACTTGGACACAGTAGGGTGCCTCCACAGGAGCTAAGGCAGCTCAAGGTGGCTGTAAACGCGTGAGATACATTGAAGCCTGCTGTTCACTGAAAATTGTGCTTTTTTTAATATTTCCTAAACGGAAAAATCAGCCTGGCTGAAAGATTGTGGATGTATATTTCGTGTGAAGTTTCAGTTTTGATTAGTTTGATGACCAAGAAAAAAGATCGAGTGGGCTAAGGCCGGATAACAACCTTTAACAAGCGGTACTCTGAAATCTGCCCAAACGCAAGTACCGCACGGACGTCTTACAGCCAGTTGGTTTTAGTGGCTAAACCAGCCCATATTTAGGCAATATATAGCAACCGTAGAAAAACCACATCTTCAGGAGAGTCGTGTTCTAAAGTTTGCCGTTTCCATATTTCGAATGGTGTGCGTGCCTCCACCACTCATGTGCATTCGTCGCATGTTTATGGGATTCAGTTCTATTCCGGGTGGACAGCGCTAAATTCGTTTATATCGAATACCTGTTCCAGTTCTTTAAAGCTTTATAGATCCATCGTCGTAAAATTATTATCCTAAAATAATCGGTAGATATAGTACTGAATCTGTTTTATCTTCGATGGGGCCCGAAATTCCCCCCACAAACACGCAGTAGATATTGCAGGTATTTTGCGTGTTTCTTTAAAATAATGCAAAAGTAATTGAGTAAAGTAACGAAGTAATTAATCAGTTACTTTTTACGGGGAGTAATTTGTAACGGTTATCCACTACTTTTTAGGCCAAGTAATTGTAATTGTAATTAATTACTTTTTTTGAGTAACGGGCACAATAACCCATGCATTCTCAATTAAGGTACTCAGTTTAGTTTCGATTTTGAAAGGGAACCGAAATTGTTTGTTTTTTTGTGCAGGTTTGGCGCAGATTACCCATATTTTGGCAAAATGTAGCAGGACGTAGCAGGGCTAGCCCCTTGGTGCAGTTTGGCGCAATTGGCGCAGCAATCAGATCACTGACTTTCTTTTGAAAGTACCAGAAAAAAATACTTCAAGTAAAGTACAAGTACATACTCAGAGAATGTACTTCAAGGAAAGAATGAGTTTTCTAAATTTACTTGAAGTAGTACTTTAAGTTAATCATAGTTATTCTGAATAAATTAACCAATATACAAAGTAACCTTTTCTTCTTCTGAGACAAATTGCTGATAGTGATTGCCCACCTTGGTCCTCTGCCCAGTCATCTTGGCAGAAAGAAATGCCAACATGTTCTTCAGTAGAAAGCCCCATTCCGTTTCTTAGTGGTGGGCCGACTTCAGTTGGAGACTGTGGCAGGGCCTGAAATAACCGCAAAGGCTGTCAAAACCAATCGTAGAGGCATATCGTGCCTAAACAAATGCTTCTGTGCCATACTCAAATAGTTCGGATGATACCCAGTAGTTATTATAAGACTAGCATGGTCAGAGGAGAAGAACACTGAACGTGGTTTCTTTTAATACCCTAGCCCCACTAGAGAAACAAACAGAAATTGACACTGACAATCCTCGAGCACATGCCGCATGCACGTTAAGGTATCTCTGGCAAGCTTGCAATCGCTAATGCAAACATCACGAGCACAGAGACTCGAAGCTGGCCAAAGGTACCTCTGCGAGCACGTTGCACGTGTTTGAAGCTAGTTAGTATTGGTTGTTTCTGTTTGCCGCTCCAGTGGGACGTGGGTATAAATGAAACCATTCAGTTCAGTGGCATTTATGTTTACCAAAGAATGGAAAAGTAGCAGACCATACTAACTGCATCACACTTTATGACAGCATTTTGACTACATTTTAGTATTGGTAGCATCACAAACAATTTACCGTAAAGTTCTGAGAGAACGCCCGCCACCGAGAAATCGCCTATCGCGTTTTTCTCGCTAAATATCCGTAACATCAAAATTCAGAAACATTCCCCACCCCCCGATTCCCGTCGGACGTCACGCGATGTCCGACGGGAATCGTATCAACAGCTCAATTTGCTGTACCGGCACGTCTGACAAGCGAGTTCACAGCGGGTTTTCGCGCTTTCGTCCGCGATCTGCGTGCGCGATATCGGTTCCCGTGACAGGCTAGTTTGTAGCGGGTTCCCGCGTGTTTATTGTACCATTAACTTGATTTGCTGCGTCTGCGGTATTCGTTCCCGCAAAATGCGAGTTCCGGGCGGGTTTTCTTCGCACCGTGAAAGGCGAATCTGCTGCGTCTGCAACCTGCGCGCTATCCTTTCCCGTGACACAGGAGTTCCTAGTGAATCCCCGAGCGTTTATCGCATCGGGAAACGCGAATTTGCCGTGTCCGCGATCTGAGGTAACAGTTCTCGCGGTACGTGGTTTGTAGCCGGTGCCAGAGTATTTATTATTATTTATTTATTTTATTTTATTTTCCTGTGGCATCTTCAAAGATAGCCCAGCCTGTCTATCACCATTTATCTCTTCCTTTAGGTGGGCGTTCTTTCGGAACTTTACCGCAATTTTTGTCGCTCGGCAGTGGCGTAACAAGGTCATCCGGCATCCAGGGCCCTTAAATCTTTCGTAGGCCCCTGCTTCCCCCCCCCCTCCCCCCCGAGATCGCAACCAGTAAAGCAGGGGGGGGGGGGGAGGGGGGCGCCAGAGGTGGCACCCACACACAGACACACAGGTGACTGGGACGCCTGGTATCCGGGGCTAAGGTACCCCAGCCTCCCCCGTTAGTACGCCACTGTAGCTCGGTAAATAATTCGACAAAATCCGAGTATTACTTGGTATCCCATTTTGTTCAATGAAGCTAAAAGCACGCCTTATGTGACAGAAATACCAATATCAGCACAGATACTTATTAAGATTGTCAAAGAACAGAAAGGGCAGTTCAGAAATATAACAAATGTTGTACATAAGTTGAGCAAGGTTAACACAAGGAAAAAATAAATATTGAATGTTTCATTGATCTTTCATCAAAATTTAACGAAGTCAGTCTCCTACTTTATGAAATCTGTGTCTAACTAAAACTTTGTCCTTCCAACATTTTCTTTGATAACACCAACAAAAAATGCTTAATTACAATCTCCCATAAATTGAGGGGGTTATCTACAATTTATGATAGGGTGGGTGGTGAAAGTCGGTGCGGGGTTCAAGCCCCTTTGAGATCATTATCATCATCATCCGTTCTCTCTCTCTCTGCCTCCCTCCCTTTCTTCCTCTCCCCTCCTCCCCTCCCCACTCTGTTATGTCTGACAAATGTAAAAAAGCATAAAAATAAGAATGCAGACCAAAAACAATAGACCAGATAAGCCATTGTCTGCTGTGTCGTTCCTTGGTCTGCATCTTTATTTTTACATTCATTACGAATAATGTCTGAGGCATAACGGAGGTCCACAGTGTGGACAGTTATGAATCTGGTGGACAGTATTAAATGAAAAGAGCAAGTTCAGAGACTCAATAACACACTGGAATGACAGTCAAATATCTGTAAGGCTTTTACAATTCTCAAATTGTTTTACGGCTCTTTTCAAAAAGTTTTTATTTCTGGCTTTGAGGCAATCCTACTTCACTAAATTATGAAAACTTTTAGCTCATGCAGTAGTATATTACAATGCATGATACTCACCTGTCCATGTAGAAAATGTGAAGAATTTGCCATTGTTACTTCTGTAGGAAGCGAACTAGTGCAGTGGCGCAATTCATTTCCCTTCTCAAGTAGAAAGCTGCTTGTGAAGCACTTTGGCAACTTTCCGGGTGAAGAGGCAGAGACATAGCTGCTGTAAACCTAAGAAGAAACACACCAATTAAGTTTCCCCATTCCTCTCTCATCCCTTCCCTCTCTTTCCCTCCCTCTCCCCACCCCTTTTCTCACCGTCTTATAGGGCCCCCTCCTTTGCCCCAGTTGTCTCCATTTCCCCTCCCTTTTCCTGGTCACCGTGACACACATATTCAGTTTCCCCAAAATTGATAGGAATGTAGGTTGTTCACTCCCAAAATAACTCTTTCATGTCTTCCACAACTGAAGGAATTGCTCCTAGACTGTAGAAAAACTGCTTTGTCTTTGCCTTCATTCTCCTCCAAATTAAGACGTCAGCTGAGAGTAAGCACTTGTCTTGTGTAGTCTTCCACTTGTCCTTGTCTTTTGCACTTTCTATTTCCATGAAGCTCTTAAACACTGCATTTCACGAATTATAGGACTTCGAAGATAAAGGTTGCCGCGAATTTTTCTTTATACACAACATTTTCTTTTCAACTGGAAATACTATGTACTACAGCATATAAGGTCATAAATGCTGTGTTCTATTATTCTCGAAAATAGCAACTACGTGGTACCATTTATTTATAAGTAGCAATCAAGGGCGAGATGAGAACTTCACAACTGGTAGAAGTGGAAAGTTGTTTTGACCCATCTTTGCCAATGTTGTTTCCTTCCATCTATTTTTTTTATGGAAAACTGTTATGCAGGACCATGTTTCATAATAATGGTATAGCAGTAATTAGGGCCATCTTTTCTCCCATTACTCACTTAAAAGACAACTTCAGGAATGGCCTATGTAATTAGTATCCAACACACATTTTTTACTTCCCAGATCTGAGTGTTTTCTCCCCTCCCACATCTTTTCCCTTTTCATCCCCCCCTCTCCAAGCAGAGTTTTTGTGAAGCCATCATATTTCCTTTTCAGCCTTCCTCACATCTTTTGCTTAGCTTGCTGCAGTTCAGTGGAGGGGTGAACCAAGACAATATATTTTACCCTGTGGGAGGTGACAAGACCAGATGACATTTCTCCGTAACCTTGAATTCCGCACTCTCCTCATCCAACTTTTTTTTTTTTGAATTTATCATAGTTTTTATTTTTATTTTCATAATTTAACTATTCTAGCATTTAAAAAGGGCGTGAAGAAATATGTAGAGAACAGCACACTAAGAGTGCTCCATTGTTGTGAGAGAATCTTAGGTCACCTTTTATATTGACAGCATTTCCATCCTGAAGCAGCTTAGTAAATGTATTTCATACACTTTTGTTTAGCCTATCCATCCGTTTTTCTCGCTGACTTTCAAATGCAAGCATGTGTATTATGTTCAACCATTGCCAGCTCGTTTTTTCCCAAACATTTTATTTTTATTATGCTGTATGTATACTTATTGTGAGCACTGTATTGTTGAATTCTTTCCTCTGTTCTAAAGCATTATAGTTGTAGTACTTGTCTATAAGTTTGTGCTTTCTTGTCATGTGGTTTCTTTTTTGTCTATATCTTGAATTCTAGTTCTTTTTTCTTGTGTTTTGTCCTTCCTTACTTAATGCTCTGCATAAGCCTGTAAGGTATTAAAAATAAACAAATTCAGAAAAACTACATGGCCTTCACAATTTTTGCCCAGGACTGCCATCTTGCAGCCTGGGTGGATAAATGATAATGGCTGTACCTATTGTAATGGGCGGTAGCTTGCGCCACCTAGCCTAAAAACAATAACAAAAACCTGATTTCCCCTTCCCAGCCAATGTGTTTCTCTAACCATCACCAGGCAGAAGATGATTGCCAGACAAAAGATGATTGCCAGGTTTACCTTTGGGGGTTTGATAAAAAAAAAATAAAAACATCAGTCCCAACCTTCTCCCCACGGCGAAGGAGTTGCCAATTTTTTCCTGGTCAAACCTTGTCGGCGTCAAGTAACACCCGACCCACTGGGGGACAGTGTTGAGACTTTGGGCCGTAGCCACGCGGGAGGGAGTCCCAATTTTCCTCTGTCCCACCTGTCCCCCAACTGTGCTAGTTAGTTGTACTTAGTTCAAGTTTTCCTAGATAATTCCTACCAGCACTGCAATCTTGCTAACATGTGTCCACCACTGCCAGACTGGCATCCCAACAAAGCATTTTTCCACATACCGTAGCCAGATTAGCTTTTGAAGTGTGGCTAATTGCAAATGTGGATAGGTATATGATACAGAAAAAAAAACTGAAAAAAGGAATAAAAAAAGTCTACTACCTTAGGTTCAGAAACTCCTGTTTTCTCAAAAGCTAGGCCCAAATCAGATTTCTGAGGCTGCTGCCAAGAGTGGGACTTGTGGCACTGCTGAAGATGAATCAGGTGATTTGACCTGAAAAGAAGCAAAGGGTTCCATGTCAGTAATTACTTTCCCAAAAGCACATATCTATAATACAAAATACCTTGTTCACAACACACATAACTTCTACAACAATTTTCCATATCAGAATACACCATGCTCTTGTATCCCTGAGTAATGTGAGCAAAGAACTTTAGTCTAGAAGCATTGCCAAAAGTGTGCACATGATTGGAGACGAAGACAACATGAAGTATGCTTTTCAGGATTATGGCCTATACCTAGAGGGCAATGTACTAGATTTAACTTCTATTTCTGCTTTTAGAATGCTAATACGGCTTAATTCTTTGAAGAAAAAAAATCAGTGCTCAATTTAGTTTTTGTTTTCTTTTTTTACTGCAAATTTTATTTTGATAAGAAAAATATTGTTATGTGTACCAGGTTTCAAATATTTTAACAATAAACATAGAAGTAACAAATGGTATTTGGACAATGAAAACATGCTATTTAAAATAGAAAAATCTAATCAGACAACTTTTACTCTGCACAATGTATTTTAAACTGAAGATGTTCTCAGACACAAAAAGAGCCAAACTATTTTTCGATGTAAAAGCATTATGCATTTCTGATTTGGAATATTATCATAAAAATGCATGCAGAACTACCCCCCTTCACCAAAAGTAGAGGTTAGATATTGGTTTTATAAAAAAAATCAACACTGAAAAACTATACATATACATATATTTACGTATATATATTGGGAGCCTCATCACATCAACATATGGCTATTAATGAACTTGATTATTTATATGTTTCTTTAGACGGTTTACAGTGAAGCATATTTCCGAACTCATCAACAAGAAATCCTAAACTGGCAAATGAACATCACAAGTGAGAAATTTCGGATTTGTTACTATCATGATATAAAGTAAAGACTTGTTGGTCACCGAAGCACACTATCTGATGCAAAAAAATCCATGTTAAAGTAAAGCACCCATGTCTTGAGACACTCTCAAAACCGCAACAAAGATGATTGGCAAATTTATGACAAATATCTCAAAAACTAGACTGGTAACAAAAATGCTGCTGCGATCTGTTCTAGGAAGCAATAAAGCTTATACGATCTCTTTCATCACATAACCAAATTTTTAGAAAACAAGTAGAATAACAGAAGTGTCGTGAAAAAAATAAATAAAAAAGTCTTAATCATACAACGCACACTGATCATAGAATAAGCCATGCAGCCTTTAAACCAAAAAGACACAACAAAAAAATATTTTTTCGCTTAAGTATCCTCGTTTAAAACTTTGCTTGTGTTCAAGCGCAAGCGTACGTGGAACACCCTGTAGCGCTACCCCACACGACAAGAGCCTTTCCCCGACCGCCCTTGGCAGAAGCTGGCATAACGACATTCGCCTCTATCGCAAATATAGCGCCACCGTTTTATTGCCCTATCCTCGCCCACTCCGTTGGTCAGCAAACACGGCAAATAGGAAACCAGTCACGAATTTGCAATCTCCGTCTTCCCTATCACCCTTCCGGACTCTGACGAGTGTTCTTTTCTGACTAGCGTACTTCATCGAGCCCTCTCCCTCTCATCGACACTCGATCGTATCTCTAATTGCTTTAGTGCACTTCCTCGAATGTCCCCTTACGGGCCTTACCCAAAACGCGCTTCGCAAATGTAAACAGTCATTCGGTTTCTTTTTTTTTTTTTTTTCCCCGGAGAATTGCAGTTCTTTGATCAACGCGACTTCTGATACGATAGCCCCGGGTGTATTTGACAAGAAGAGCAATCCAAAGAGAAGTAAACTTTCCCTGCCCCTCTCCCGTTGACACGAACGGAGAAGAGACAAGAAGAGGAAGAGCTCACAGCAGAGCCCTTTCGGCGCCGTTTGCGTGTTACCCGTGCACGCAGACGGCGACTGCGCCGTCGAAAGACAAACACCGCGATGTCAAGTTTAGGGTCACGCATACGAAGGGGGAGAGGGAAAGACTCCCCCTGGTTGCGGGGTCACGCGACTCGAACTTTGAAGACGCCTGCCTGCTGCCATGCCACCAAGACCCGGATCGCTCGATCCGCGGTCAACGAACCCCGCACCCCCGCTGCGCACGGGGACGTCGTCGTGCCACGGAGGAAATCGGATCAAATCAATATAACCAGAAAAAAAAAAAAAAAAAAGACTCATGCCCTCCTACACGTTTGTGGGAGACATCCGAAATCGCGAGATAGGAACCTCGATGGTCCGCGAACGATTGGGGCACCCGTAGATCGTTTTTCTCCTCCGCTATACGGTATCCGTAAAGAAAACGCCGCAGCTGCGCATGCGCGCCGCCAACCTTGTCTGCATAGTTCAAGGTCTTGTGGCGGATTATGGAGCGCTATTCGGGTGCCTAGCGGGCTGCGGAAACGGTCTACCAAAAGACCCTACTGGTGACGAACGCACGAGGAGTTTCAAACTTGCTAGAAGAGTGCCAGCATGGTGAAGCAATAAATAATTCTCTGAAGAGGACATCTATGCGCATGCTATGCACACGCAAAAAAAAAAACGCATGTTCTTGCGCACACGTAGAACTTAACATCACAGTTAAAAAAGAGCGTAGTAAAAAAATAAACATATTCGCTATCTTAAACCAGTCAGTGCAATGAAGAAAAATAATTTGCGCTACACCTATTTTATCATAAAAGGAATAAAAGAAATTGCAAAAAAAAAAATGCCATTTTCAAAGAGCTAACAAAAGGTTCTTGAATTTTTCATAAATATAAAAAATATACCTTCAGACCAAGCCTCGATAGTTGCATTTTACATGTTATAAATCATACATATGCAAATAAAATTCTTGTGCGCAAACTGTGAAAATACCCCAAAATGGCATAGAGATAAACGCGTTTTCGAATAGATGTGTCACAACAAAAAAATTAAAATTACAATTTATAAATATATATATATATATATATATATATATATATATATATATATATATATATATATATATATATATATATATATATATATATATATATATACATGATTTCCCATGATTAAGCCACAGAAATTATGATGGAAAGGAGACGACTAGGACGACTTCTCAACATAAATGTGATGGCAGGCAACGTAACAATTTGAAGAACCACGCACACAAAAATGGCTCATATTTATGCCGCTCTGGATTGCCGGGAGTTCTTCAAATGCGTAATTAACTAATGTCGCAATCATGAACAGTCCTTGATACTTTTAGAGGTAAAATATAAAGATTCAAGGGTACTACAAAACCTTAAATCGCAATTTTTGCGAAATATTGCCGTTTTTCCATTTTTAGGTAACAAGTATGACAAAACATGTAGTGTACGACATGTACGAACATTTCAGTAGGCTTTTATTCAGCATGAAAACTAGAGCAGGTTTTTTGTCGAAAATTAGCATATGGCGTCATTCCAGGGACAGCGCCCTGGTGTACGTAATACATATCCAGGTATATCAAGACGAAGTTACTTAACTCAAAAACAAAAGAACCCTTAAAAACCGAAATTTTTATGAATGGGATTCAATGGAAAACGTAGTACCACATTTCCACGTGATGCAGTTATAGTTACCTGATGTGTGGCCAGTAAAAACAGGGCACAGACTAATATGTTGTTAAAACTAACCAGGGCCTTCTCTGTGGGAACATGAGGAACGAGCACTCTTTTTAACAACACCGCAGAGTTGCGATTCTTGCATTTGTCGATTTTGCCCAAACTAGGCACCGACCAGGACTTATTACCTCAAGGTTGACGTTGTTCGCGCATTCCCGACCGAGAGAACCTTTCATTGAGGACTTTCACAAATCTTGCTGCCCCTTGGCCCGTTTCCTCGATTGAACTGCTTGACAGCCAGTAACGCCTATGAGATGTTACCGATTGCCAAGTCCAAATCCTTGCGAACGGTTAGATTGACAAGGACTTGGACATGCCCACACAGAAGACAGCGGCGCCTTGGCGTCTTCCATTCTGACTGGAGTGAGCGACGTTCGGGGCCGTCAAACGCCTGGCAGACAAACGTCACAGCAAGAAGCGAGCGACAGGCCCTGCGAAAGGCCGAAGAAGCGAGTATCTCTTGTACAAATGACGAGCTCCCCACGGGCGTGTCGCTGGAGTCTCTCTGGACAACGTCGTCGTCCGGATGTGTCAAGAGCCGCAACGCCGTCGTGGACGACCCCCTCCTCTTGACGCCGTTCATCGCGGTGACGTGTGTACACTTAAGGACTCCCCGTCGCGAAGGCTGACGCCGAACGGCGAGTCTCACGGTCGCCGACCCATCAGCGGCGAAAGGAGTTTTCAGAGGTGACCATCAGCGAAGTTCAACGAACGCGACGACCGTACGCGGCGTATATTTGCACGGACTGCCCTCTCTTTTCGAGTACAACGCTTGTAAATCCTGAAGTGGTGCGGGCTTTTATTAAATTAATCGCGCGCGCGGACCGCTCACGTGACGTGGGCGTATATGAGTGGGGCCGATGTTTAGTTCACGATACAGGATCGATAGAACACGCCGGAGTGAGTGTCACCGACAAGGACAAGCGCTTCAGTGATCTGAGACTCACCGTGCCGATCCGTCCTTCAAAATGACAGAAGGTTCGCTATTACTAATAGAGAATTGCGAAAGCTACTACTCATATACGAGGTTACTAAGAGGACAATGCCGCTGCTCAAAGAGCGCATTCATGAGGGTGCCTGTATTGGAAACGAAACGTCGCATCCTATGCTTCGTGAAAAGAGAAAGAGAGGGGGTGATGTTAATTTTAAATTTTCATATGTTTTGATTAAAGCGGTTATTCATAGATTTCCTTTACAAACATCCATGGCGGGCGCGCTTCTGTAAACACTGCTGATGCGAAAACGAAGCCACGAAGCGGTCCAAATGGCGGAACGCTACGGACTGCTTCCTGCTTTGACAAAAATATTTGGTCTACGTTTACGAGTTCGATACTGAGATTCGGCAGAAGTATAGAGCCGCTATCGTATACGCAGACATAACAGATGCCGCTGTCCGGCA